CACGACCAGGACACAATAATCCCCTGTGGCTGGTGTAACCAGGAGATTGATAGCATTAGATTTGTTTTGATGCAAGCCGTTTCACTAAAAACTGTCTGGCCTGCTGCCCGTGTAGAAGGGGCTGGTGGAGGGGTACAGCCGCCGTCGATAGGTTCACGTGGCGGGGTCAGGGCTCGGACACCACAGAAGAAATGCGTGAATAAAAATCTAAACTTGCTGTGCTCACGTCTTGAAGGCCTCGCAGAGTTTTGTACGCGCGTCTGATGTTTGGCCGAGACTGCTGTTCAAGTGCGGGCAGTCTTCGACTCGTGAACACCCGTACTTACGAACCGGCTGACATGAAATTATACAAAATAACATCGACTTAAAATGTACAATGTTCTTATAAGCTGAACAATGCTTGTTCAAACCGCAACACTTAACACCACTGGCCTCTGGGCGTTAAACACGTTGCATTATGGTCTTCCCCACTTACACAACCGGTGGACTTACTAACATGGCTCAGGAACGAATTGTGTTTCGTAAGTCGATGACTGCGTCTCCCCTTAGCCGGGCGGTGGTGGTGGTAGCACGCCTGGAATCCAACATTGGAGGCGAGGGTAGGTGGATCGCACAAATCTTGAGAAACTGCCATCACCATCTGCACGGGGATCGAGGTGTTGCTCCCTTGCGTCAACGTGCGGTTTTCTCACGAGTGTTCTATTTTCCTCCCCACAAGTATAAACCGCTCATTCATTGTATGAAAATATCGCAGAGCAAGAACCCACTGGCAGGATCCCTCCTCAAAAAGAGTCGTGTGACTCAGTGTGGCTTCTGAATAAGTCACAAAAAAAGACTTGCCGCTTGTCATCCTGCTGCTGCTGCCCTTGCACGGGCTGGTTGCGTGAGTCTCCGTGGCCTCGGCGAGAGTCGAAGTGCCGCGCGGTGTTCCATTTGAGGCGACGTGGGAGCCGTGCGGTGCGATGGGTCCGCACTTGATGATGGCAGGACGCGTGCCAATGTGGGTGAGTCCCGCATTGGGTCTCGGCACGGTGTTTGGAGTGGTGTCCTAGCGGAGGCCTGTGGAGTCGTGAGTGGGTGAGTGGTGTGTGGGGTGAGTTGGTGAGGCGTGTTGGGTGGTGAGTTGGGGAGGTGTGTGTGGGGTGAGTTGGGGAGTGGTGTGTGGAGTGGTGAGTTGGTGAGGTGTGTGTGGTGGTGAGTTGGGGAGTGGTGTGTGGAGTGGTGAGTTGGTGAGGTGTGTGGAGTGGTTGTTGGGGGGCGGTGTGTTGAGTGGTGAGTTGGGGGTGGTGAGTTGGGGAGTGGTGTGTGGAGTGGTGAGTTGGGGGTGGTGAGTTGGGGGAGTGGTGAGTTGGGGAAGTGTGTTGGGTGGTGAGTTGTGGGAGGTGTGTGGAGTGGTGAGTTGGGGGAGGTGTATGGAGTGGTGAGTTGGGGGAGGTGTGTTGGGTGGTGAGTTGTGGGAGGTGTGTGGAGTGGTGATTTGGGGGGGTGTGGAGTGGTGAGTTGGGGGAGGTGTGTTGGGTGGTGAGTTGGGGGAGGTGTGTGGAGTGGTGAGTTGGGGGAGGTGTGTGGAGTGGTGAGTTGGGGGAGGTGTGTGGAGTGGTGAGTTGGGGGAGGTGTGTGGAGTGGTGAGTTGGGGGAGGTGTGTGGAGTGGTGAGTTGGGGGAGGTGTGTGGAGTGGTGAGTTGAGGAGTGGTGAGTTGGTGAGTTGGTGTGTGGAGTGGTGAGTTGGGGGTGAGGTTGTTGATGCAAGTCGAATTCTGTTCACACGCGCACACAGATCTCTCTCCCGAGAGCCCGTGGAGACTGTTGGGGCAAGTGCTGTCAACGATTCACTAACGCCAGCAATACTCTGATGGTGCGTTGTCTTTAAGTTGGCGTCATCTGGTCCAACACCACGTGAGACTAGGCTCTAAGAAAAGCCGTCTCGGGTGTGGACCAATCAAGTTCAAGCACAGTTCACACATTATCAGAGCTGTGTTTTTTGTTTGCATTTTGACCGCAAGCGTTGTGGTTAATGCAAACATGATCCCTTGTATAAAGGTGTCAGTTTTGTTGCCAGGTAAAAGGGTAAAACCCTATCACTAATGCGCGTGTGGAGGCGGTGTTACCAGTACCAAGACCGACCACATTCAGCCCCACAGAGCTGGCGGTTGACACAAGGCCGAGTCAACCTAGGGGCCGTCCATAAATTACGTCACGCGATTTTGGAGGATTTTTGACCCCCCCCCCTCGTCACACGGCGTCACAAGTCAGAACCCCCCCTCTCAAATATGACGTCACAAAGCTCTGCCCCCCCCCCCCACAAAAAAACATATTTCCATTTAAAAAAATAAAACAGGCTTCAAATCGCTTTAAACTATTGTCATTGTAGTGCGTTTCTAATGTGGCGCTGCACTCTGATGTTGTAGGAGAAAACATTAAAAAGTCTATTTAATTAAGTAGAACGTGTCTATATTTATTTAAAGTTGCGCATTTTGATGTAACGTCACATTTCTCACCCCCCCCCCCCTCGTCACACATCGTCACAAATGTCTGACCCCCCCCCCTCCCCTAGGTGCGTGACGTCATTTATGGCCGGCCCCCTAGGGGATGCACAGGACATTAAAACACATTCCTGCGGAGGGAGCTGGTAGGAACGTTGGGTTGCTCGGTCAATGGCCTGCAGGGTCAACGGCGGCGTGGTGTATTCCGCAAATATACCCGACTGTGAGGGCGGGCACAAGCCGGCGTGAGTAGGTTAAACGTTGAGTTTTATAAGGGCACCACGGGGTGACCAGCCCCTCCCCACCCAGCGCAACCGCTCCCACCCCCACCCAGCCACACCCTCCCCACCCAGCCCCTCCCCACCCAGCCCCTTCCCACCCTCCCCACCCTCCCCACCCAGCCCCTCCCCACCCCCCCCACCCAGCCCCTCCCCACCCTCCCCACCCAGCCCCTCCCCCGCACCCAGCCCCTTGTCCCGTCTCCAGCCGTCCTGGATGCGAGGTCTGGCCACACCGTGGGCATCCTCCGCCACTGACTTCTCGCGTCTTCTGCAATCCCCATTGTCTGCTGCTGCAGCGTGAGACTCGTCCACCCATTGATGTTGTCCACCAATTGTCACCCTTGTGGGTCTACCTCCAGCTCGTCAACCGGCTATTGCATCTCGCACAAACCTGGTTCCATCTTCTCTCTGGTTCTTTCTCCCTGAAGACGGACGCTTGTGGTGTTGCGACCGAAGCGTCCTGTTTTCTCTTGTCCACGTGACTTTTAGCGAAAGTCACGGACGCTTCGAATCACGAATGGTTCCATTTCGCCGCTAGAAATGTCCAAAATGATGGTCGGCCACTTTTGTTGGCTTCTGAAATAAAAAACAATGACTTTGGTTCTTTCGGTAAAGTCACGTAGGTCGAAATATAACACTGGTCAACACACTTTTCTGGCATAAGGTATTCCAACGGTTTTAATGTAATTTGGGGTGCTGATTCCAAATCTGGCATCAGTTTTTGTCTATCACATCAGGTTTTTGAGATATAAAATATTGCATTTAAAAAAAAACTGCAGAATAAAAATATTAAATAAATGTGGATATCTACATAAATGATATTATAAACACACTATCCTAAAAATACAGCACATTTTAACACTAAAGCAGTCACTGACTCGCAACAACTTGCAATCATAAGTGACAGAGTTAATTTTGGGTAAATCAATGAAAATGGGGTATGTCGATAGCATAAAATGAGATGTGATAGAGCAAATCTGAGATCAGATTTGGAACCAGCACCCTGAAATTAGAACAGCTGCAAAAGTCCAGGTGAGAATTTTATTTTTGTTGACCAGTGTTATCGATACGACGTTTCGATCGCAACGCAGGCAATCGTCATCAGGTGGGACACCCACATCAAGAGAAAACTGCTGAAGTTGGCGTTGCGATCGAAACGTCGTGATCTATGATTTGTCTACCGATGTGACTTTACCGAAAGAAGCAGTCACGAAAGCTTCAAATCACGATATAAGTTAATAGCCTCAGTGGGGGCTTGCTGGTAGGACTGGGATGGTTTCAGAGCTGTCGACCTCTACGGTTTAGCCGTAATTCTTGCGCAGCGAAATTGAGTTTTCAGGTCGCATCGGGCAGACAGCCGTTTCAATCGGCCTAACAAAATGTGTCTCTGCGTTTGTGTTTCTCCCTTGTGATGGAACTTTGTCGGATGAACGTTGAGATTTATCAGAGGCACGGGGTGATCAATAAGATCGATAAGGGGTTGACGGGTCTGTGGTGGTGTAGTTGTTGTCTGTGTGATTTGTTCATCTTTCTTATAGCTCATCAGTTCTTCCCCCCAGCTATAAATAAGTATGCAGATACATATTATATGAATGAACATTGAAATACATATTTATATGAATAAACAACCATTTTTATTTATGTAAATAACCCTTCAGATACATATTTATAGCAATAAACAGATACTTATTTATATAAATATTTCCTATTTATACAAATAAACATTCAGATAAATATTGATATGAATATGCAGACAATACTTATTTACATTTTATGTTCATATCAATATTTGTTAATATGAGATAAAAAATTTAATTTTTAATTTTGACTTCAAATTTTCGTGACAGTGGGAATTCATATTCTGTGGTTCTTTAATAATAAAAATAAAGTTAAAAAAAACATCACGACATTTCGACCGCTGGTGTTGCGATCGAAACGCCGTGATATTTGTAATCACTTCATTTTCATTATCATTCTTTCTAGCTACGCGACTTTACCGAAAGAAACACAGAATATTGACCAATTTTATTTCGATTTAAATCCGGAGGGAAAAATCCCTCTCACCTGACATGCAGCGCCGGGACGCGAAGTTAACGCCCCCACCCCCGAGTGCGCATGCGCGGCACAGTGAGTCAGGAGTCTCCGCTTGGCACCCGCCAGAGGCCTTCTCCTCACCACCTCACCTCACCACCCCACTCACCACCCTCACCTCACCACCTCCTCACCCTCTCACCACCTCCTCCACCGTCACCTCGTCGTCGGCTCGCGCAAGGCCGCTCGCCATGCTCATCACGCTCAAGACGCTGCAGCAGCAGACATTCAGGGTGGACGCCGACCCCGATGAGACGGTGGGGCCTGCGAACAAGTTACACACTCACCACGTGACCACTCACCACTCACTACGTGACACACTCACCACTCACACCACGTGACACTCACACCACTCACCACGTGACACACTCACCACGTGACACCCACTCACTCACCACGTGACACACTCACCACTCACACCAGTGACACACTCACCACTCCCACGTGACACATCACACACCACCACGTGCACACTCACCACTCACCACCACGTGACACACACTCACCACCACGTGACACACTCACCACTCACCACGTGACACACACCACTCACTCACCACGTGACACACTCCCACATTCAGGGTGGGAGCCGACCCACGTGACACTGCTAACACCACTCACACGTGACACACTCACACTCACCACCACCACTCACCACCACGTGACACACTCACCACTCACCACGTGACACACTCACCACTCACTCACCACGTGACACACTCACCACTCACCACCACGTGACACACTCACCACTCACTCACCACGTGACACACTCACCACTCACCACCACGTGACACACTCACCACTCACCACGTGACACACTCACCACTCACTCACCACGTGACACACTCACCACATTCAGGGTGGACGCCGACCCCGATGAGACGGTGGGGCCTGCGAACAAGTTACACACTCACCACGTGACACATCACCACTCACTCACCACGTGACACACTCACCACTCACCACCACGTGACACACTCACCACTCACTCACCACGTGACACACTCACCACTCACCACCACGTGACACACTCACCACTCACTCACCACGTGACACACTCACCACTCACCACACGTGACACTCACCACTTACTCACCACACACTCACCACGTGACACACTCACCACTCACTCACCACGTGACACACTCACCACACACTCACCACGTGACACACTCACCACTCACCACCACGTGACACACTCACCACTTACTCACCACACACTCACCACGTGACACTCACCACTCACTCACCACGTGACACACTCACCACTCACTCACCACGTGACACACTCACCACATTCAGGGTGGACGCCGACCCCGATGAGACGGTGGGGCCTGCGAACAAGTTACACACTCACCACGTGACACACTCACCACTCACCACGTGACACACTCACCACTCACCACCACGTGACACACTCACCACGTGACACCCCTCACTCACCACCGTGACACACTCACCACTCACCACGTGCACACTCACCACTCACCACCACGTGACACACTCACCACGTGACACACCACTCACTCACCACGTGACACACCACTCACTCACCACGTGACACACTCACCACTCACCACGTGACACACTCACCACTCACCACCACGTGACACACTCACCACTCACCACGTGACACACTCACCACTCACTCACCACGTGACACACTCACCACTCACCACCACGTGACACACTCACCACTCACCACGTGACACACTCACCACTCACTCACCACGTGACACACTCACCACATTCAGGGTGGACGCCGACCCCGATGAGACGGTGGGGCCTGCGAACAAGTTTCACACTCACCACGTGACACACTCACCACTCACTCACCACGTGACACACTCACCACTCACCACGTGACACACTTACCACTCACCACCACGTGACACATCACCACTCACCACGTGACACACTCACCACCACGTGACACACTCACCACTCACGACTCACCACGTGACACACTCACCACGTGACACACCCACCACGTGACACACTCACCACTCACCACGTGACACACTCACCACTCACCACGTGGACACTCACCTAACTCACCACACACCACACACTCACCACTCACTCACCATACACTCACCACATTCACCTCACTCACCACACACTCACCACACACCACACTCACCTCACTCAACTCACCCTCACCACACACTCACCACACTCACCTCACTCACCTCACACTCACCACACACCACACACTCATCACACACTCACCACACTCACTACACACTCATCACACACTCACCTCACTCACCTCACACTCCCACACACTCACCTCACTCACCCCACACTCACCGCACACTCACCACACACTCACCACACACTCACCACACTCACCACACACTCACCACACACTCACCACACTCACCCCACACTCACCGCACACTCACCACACACTCACCACTCACTCACCACACTCACCGCACACTCACCACTCACCACACTCACTCACCACACACTCACCACACACTCACCACACACTCACCACACTCACCACACTCACTCACCACACACTCACCACACACACTCACCACACACACTCACCACACACTTACCACACTCTCACCACACTCTCACCACACTCACCACACACACTCACCACTCACTCACCACACTCACTCACCACACACAACTCACCATACTCTCACCACACACTCACCATACTCTCACCACACACTCCCCATACACTCACCACACACTCACCACACACTAACCACACTCACCACACACTCACCACTCACTCACCACACACACTCACCACACACACTCACCACACTCTCACCATACACTCACCACACACTCACCACACACTCACCTCACACTCACCACACACACTCACCACACACACTCACCACACTCTCACCATACACTCACCACACACTCACCTCACACTCACTACACTCACTGATTCGTGGCGCTCTAACGTAGTATGGGTACCACGGTGGCTATGAGATGTTGACTACCTCGCCTGGTCTACAGGAGGTCGTGGGCTCGATCCCAACTGACGGTGCCTGCTGCTGCTGTATAATTTGGGTCTGTGTCTCTCATCATCACGGTGGCTATGAGATGTTGACTACCTCGCCTGGTATACAGGAGGTAGTGGGTTCCATCCCGACCCTGACGATGCCTGCTGCTGCTGCATGTGAGTCAGGGTCTCTCATAATCATCATCACGGTGGCCAGGAGATGTTGACTACCTCGCCTGGTATACAGGAGGTCGTGGCTTCCATCCCCACCCTGACGATGCCTGCTGCTGCTGCTGTAGATTTGGAGTCTGCGTCTCTCTCCCCGTGGTCGCGTGGATTTTGTCTCCGGCTCCTCCGGACTTTCCCTCCACATTTAGAATCGACATCAACATCAACGCCAGCATGCGTTTTAGAGAATTTGGCCGATCTAAATGTCCGCGCAGTAATGAACCACGCTGCGTTGAGCCGTCGTTTCTGATGGCCACGTAGCTTAGTGGCCCTTGCTTGGTTAGACAGAAAATTTCGTCTACTTTTAGTGTCATTCGCCACCGCGCGGTGCGTCAGACATGCACAGATGGACGTGCAAATGCTGCCCCCGTCTCTTTTAAACGAGTCTTACGTTTATTTCCAGTTGTGCTCAGGCTTATTCAACTCATCTCAACTCTTGGGTGTTCGGTATTATAACTGTTGCCTGTCAAATTATAGCTGGGGTTTGTACGCATGTGCCACGGAGTTTTCATTTTACATTTTTTTTGGTTTTTGCCAAGAGGTGTTTACATTCCGTTTCACTAATTCCAGCCCGGCTATTTATACTATTTATTACCCAGAGCGGTGTTTATTTTTAATGGCATTTTCTGAGAAGGAAGGTTTTTTTTTTTCTACCCCCTTGTGTTTTGCGACGGAGAGAGAAGAGGGGGTTTGAGTGCCGTTGTTGTTATTGTTGTTGAACGGAGTGGACTCTGATGGTCGTCCGCTGTAGGACCCGGTCCTGCGGTGTGTACGATGGAGCGGTAGGAGGACACATCTTCTTCCCTTATCCGCTGGAAGACCCAACGCAGACCATCGCTGGGGTTTGATCTTACACCCCAAACCGCATCGCCCACAGCACCAACCAGTTGTGGGTGCTCGCTGATGATGCACGAATGGAGAAATGAAAACAAGCCTCCAGTCGTGGTTTGAAGCTTTCGTGACTGCAGGGATTCATATTCTTGGATCGTTCGGTAAAGTCACGTAGAAGGGAAATAATAAAACAAAAATAAAACGATAAAATTATCACGACGTTTCGGCCACAACACAAGCAGCCGTCCTCAGGTGAAGAACAGAGCTGTTGGATAGACAGCTAAATTCCTCTGTTGATATGTAAACTCCCTTTGTCAAGGCGCTCTGCTCCTCCCACCCAGCTTAAATATACGCTGCCAAGCTTAGCGGTGTTCATTAGGACGCTGTCTTTCCGACAGCTCTGTTTCTTCACCTGAGGACGGCTGCTTGCGTTGTGGCCGAAACGTCGTGAGAATTATTTTATTATTTCTCTTTCGGTAAAGTCACGTTTGGTATGAAACGAAATAAATCACGACGTTTCGGGCGCAGCACAAGCGTCTGTCATCTTGCGTTGCGCCCGAAACGTCGTCATTTATTTTAATTTTGTACCTCCGTGACTTTTACCCAAAGATCCGGAGAGTAAAAGTCTCCAGCCGTGGCTGCGGTGCAGACTCTGGTCACCCAGAACGACGCAGAACGACGCAGAACGACGCAATGCCCCCTTGTGTTTGGGGTCAAGGGTTGTGGTTGCGTTGTGTTTGGGGTCAAGGGTTGTGGTTGTGGCTGCGTTGTGCTTGGAGTCAGGGTTGTGGTTGCGTTGTGCTTGGGGTCAAGGGTTGTGGTTGTGGTTGCGTTGTGCTTGGGGTCAGGGTTGTGGTTGCGTTGTGCTTGGGGTCAAGGGTTGTGGTTGTGGTTGCGTTGTGCTTGGGGTCAGGGTTGTGGTTGCGTTGTGCTTGGGGTCAAGGGTTGTGGTTGTGGTTGCGTTGTGCTTGGGGTCAGGGTTGTGGTTGAGGTTTTGAGTGAAGGTTGCCACCGTGGCAGGGACGCGTGATGTTGCAGTGAGGATGTTGTTTGGGTTTGGGATGGAGGTGGATTGGGGGTTGTGTTTCTCTCTCTGTGTTTGGGGGGCTGAGCTTGGACTGAAACTGGAGTGGGGGGAGTGAGGTTGGCCAGTTGGTTGATTGAGTTGGCTTTGGGTTGTGTTTAGGGCTATGGATAGAGTTGTGTTTGTCGCTGTGATAGTGGTCGGTGATTTGGGGTTGCGGCTGGGTTTGTGTTTGAGGACGGGGTTTTGCGATGTGTTTTTTTGGCTGGAGTTATTAACCACCACGTGACCTTCAGGGCGGGGTCAAAGGGCAAGTGTGGCCACTCCCACGGGCAAGTGGCCTGGGCAGGTGTGAGGAACCGAACGAGAATCCATCATCACCATTCGCGCGATTCACACCCTCAAATAGCCCTCGAGCCATTTGCCAAAAACTGTCTCGTCGGTACCTCTCAGGGTTACGACTGCTACCAACGTTTTCTCTGAAGCCTGTAACCTCGAGATCACAGATCTGTGTGATAGCAGTGCAGCCGTTGCAGCGTTGAATGGGTCAACGGCCATTGAACAGGGCTCAGCCGTGCGGTATGAAACATCTACGGATTGTAAAATGAATATGAGGGGTGTCTGTGGGTGGACGCTCGTCCGTGGTGGACACACGTGGCACTCCCCCCCCCCCTCCCCCCCCCCAGGTTGTACCAGTCACAACCCCCTGGGCTCAAGGGTTGAGAGCTTCTCGCTGCGAGGAGGCAGCAACCGTTAGCAGGAGGAGCGATAATGGAGTTGTGAGATGCTGGGCCCGATGTGTGTGTTGGCAGGAGGCCGCGACACGTTGAGTAACAGCCACATTGCATGCTTTGCGTTCATTTCACCATTTCTCCTGTCGACAAAACGCAATCGTCGTGTTGGACGCTCCTGCAAGCCGGCCATCGCGGCGAGGTCTCCTGGCTTGCCCTCGGCTTTCCTTAGAGCTTAGTCTCCATCCGTGTTGGACCAGATGACGCGGGTGTGGACCAATCAACTTCAAGGACAGTGCATATCATTATCATCATCAGAGTTGTTTTCTTTTTGTTTGCATTTTGACTACTTGTGTTGTGGTTATTGCAAACATGATGCCTTGTATAAAGGTGTCAGTTTTGTACTAATTTAAAGGGTAAAAACCTACTATTAAAGGGAAATTTGTGAATATGTGTGTCTGTTCGAAATGTTTAGCGTACTTCATGACATGCAACAAACTTTACATTTTCCATGTGGGTAGCTTCTAGACTGGACACAATGAAAAAAGTCTAAAAGTACACTTTTGTTTTTTGGGGGGAGTTGGGTGGGCGCAATAATGGATATATTTTGCACGCAAGTGAGCGGTGACGTCACATCTGTGACGTCACCGCTCACTTGCGTGCAAAATATATCTGTGACGTCACATCTGTGACGTCACCGCTCACGTGCGTGCAAAATATATCTGTGACGTCACACCTGTGACGTCACCTGCATGCGGCAGCGTCACGCAGTGTGCCTGCTGACGTCACCCCCCCCCCAACCCTCCGCGTAGGCCGTGTGTATTGATCCAAGCCGGGCAATGAAGCTCGCACGAGTCTAAGTGGAACTGCAAGTGACGTTAGCGTTGGCAACGGGCAGCTCGGAGGCAGTGGGGGACGTGTGTGAACCGGTGGGGTCGAGTTGGTGAGTTGAGTTGGTGGGTTGACCCGGTGGGTTGAGTTGGTGGGTTGAGTTGGTGAGTTGGTGGGTTGACCCAGTGGGTTGAGTTGGTGAGTTGAGTTGGTGCGTTGAGTTGGTGGGTTGAGTTGGTGGGTTGAGTTGGTGGGTTGAACCGTTGGGGTTGAGCCGTTGGGGCGTCGACGGAGGCTGAGTTAGAACTCCGTGACGGATCGATTCCGCGGGCGTTGAGTGGGAGGGTGTTGTCTGTGTGTGGGTGTCTGTGTGTGTGTGTTTGTCTGTGTCTGTGTGTGGGTGTCTGTGTGTGGGTGTCTGTGTGTGTGTGGGTGTCTGTGTGTGGGTGTCTGTGTGTGTGTGTTTGTCTGTGTCTGTGTGTGGGTGTCTGTGTGTGGGTGTCTGTGTGTGTGTGGGTGTCTGTGTGTGGGTGTCTGTGTGTGTGTGTTTGTCTGTGTCTGTGTGTGTCTGTGTGTGGGTGTCTGTGTGTGTGTGTCTGTGTGTGTCTGTGTGTGTGTGGGTGTCTGTGTGTCTGTGTGTGGGTGTCTGTCTGTGTGTGGGTGTCTGTGTGTGTGTGTTTGTGTGTGTCTTTGTGTGTGTGGGTGTCTGTGTGTCTGTGTGTGGGTGTCTGTGTGTGGGTGTCTGTGTGTGGGTGTCTGTCAGTCTGTGTGTGGGGGTTGGGGTTGGCCTCAACGTGCACATGGCCTGGCACAAGCGCCGTGGTGACGTCACCACCACTTAGTTGTTGTTGTTAGTGGAAGTGTGACGGTAGTTTAGCGCTACGAACCCGGCGACCCGAGTTCGATTCCCGTTCACGCCAACACCACAGTGGCGCTTATCCGAACCGGTCCTGGGTCTCCTCCCCTGAGTCGACTGAGCCTCAAATGAGTATCCGGTGCGGTGTGTCGTGTACATTGCCACTTCATTAGGTGCTGCTCGCTCACGGCACTTGCCCCAACGGTCACTTGAGGCTACACGGGGGATCTTTGTCTGTGGGGCTCTTCTCGTGCGCTGCAGGTGAAGGGCTTCAAGGAGAAGATCGAGGCAGAGAAGGGAGCAGACGCCTTCCCGGCCTCGGGGCTCAAGTTAATTTACGCAGGTAACCGCCTCGCGCGCGGGTAACCACTGCTTGCGTGGGTAACCACCTCGTGTGTGGGTAACCGCTGCTTGCGTGGGTAACCGCCTCGTGCGCGACACATGAGCACACAGCAGGACCTCCCCAAGACGGACATGAGTTGGCCACAATCCTCCGCTTAGCGCGGTTGGGCTATGTATGGTGTGAATGAAGTTCAGCACACACACACACACACACGAGTTTCCGTGACTGCATGGATCACGTGGGTGAACGTGTTTTTGCTGCGGTTGTCCCGCCTCATGTCGGGGGCTCGTGTTGCCTCCGAAACGTCGTGATTTAACTGAGTTGTTTTCATTTTTATTTGATTTTATTTTCACCGACGTGACTTTACCGAAAGAACGCGGCCTGCACATCGGCGCGCTCGGCAGCTGGGCTTGCGCTGGCAGTGGCACGGAGTGAGGTGGGGTGGGGGGGTTGAGGAGCGGCGATGTTGAGGGGGCACTTGGGGCATCACGCTGCAGGTGACGACGGACGGGGGGGTTGAAGAGGGAGGAAGTGGAGGAGGGGCCCTGGGGAGGAGGGGAGGGGAGCTCTAAGCGAGGAACGGGCAGAATGCGTGCTCAGCCCGGATGGCCGGCCCCAGAACTGATTGGCAATGGAAATGAACGGACCAGAAAGCGCCGCGTGGCGTGAGGGGGACATCGGTTCAGCCTTGTTGGCACAAAGACATGTTTCAGTCGCTGCAGGTCTTCATCTCAATGATCTGAACAATGTCCAGCGTTGATCTCGAAGCTGAATCGGGACACAGTTCACATGCGCTTGTGGCGGAGGTTTGCGGTTCGGATCCGATAGGCCGCCCTTGTTATAACGGCGGTGCGGTGCATTCACCGTGAAAACGCCACACGCCGTCGGCTTCGCAGCGGACGTTTAAAGATCCCGTGACGCCACGCGCAAGGGTCGGCCGCCGTGTGCCAGCATCGCGTTTCAAATTTAGTTAAACGTTTTGCACTCCACTGCAAATTGCACAATTGGGAACTGTTCCGTCCAGACCCTGACGCCTGCTGCTGCTGCTGTGTATTTTGAGTTTGCGTGTCTCTCTCTCTCTCCCCGTGGTCGCGTGGATTTTTCTCCGGGTCCTCCTGTTTTCCCCTGCACGTTTAGAATCAACATCGCCACGCGTTTAGAGCGTTTGGCGGTGGTTTCTATTTCCACGCGACAAGCCACTTTGTTGAGCTATCGGTTGTGGGCTGGTCACTTCTGAAACAGAACTACGTAGTTCAGTGGGGCCTTACCTGGTCAAATAAAAAGTAGTTCATCTTCTTGGTTCTTTCGGTAAAGTCACGTGACTTACCGAAAGAACCAAGAAGATGAATCCCTGCAGTCACGAAAGCTTTAAATCGAAATGAAAAGTAGTTTATAGTTTAACTCGTACGCATTCGTCAATGACAGTGTGCATGCTGAGCTTCTTTCACGCCGTACGTAGCCAGCAAGTGCCAAGAAAAGTATATGATGGCCGACGTTTCGTGCAACGGCTCTTTCGCAGCACAAAGCCGTACGGTTGCTGAGCGTTGCCCCCCCCCCCCGCCCCCCGCGCTGTGCCCACAGGCAAGATCCTGAACGACGAGTCGACGCTCAGGGAGTACAAGATCGACGACAAGAACTTCGTGGTCGTCATGGTGGTAAAGAGGGGCGGCTCATCGCCGCGGCGACGGGCTCGCGATGGTGTCGCGTCGCGCTGCGGTTTGGAGTAGCGTCGCTTGTTCGCAAGAAGCGCTGGCGCGGAGACTCAACGATGCTACGTCGTGATTTTTTTATTTCGACCGACGTGACTTTACCGAAAGAACCAACGAGTATGGATTATCCTGCAGTCACGAAAGCTTCAAATCACGATAATAATTGTAAATCGTTTCGCGTGAATCGTGACCCCGTGCATCGGGAAATGGGGGTTGCCACGATGGCTAGGAGATGTTAGCTACTTCGCCTGGTACGCAGGAGGTCGTGGGTTCAACGATGCCTGCTGCTGCTGTATATTTGGAGTCTGCGTCTCTCTCATCATAATCACGGTGGCTAGGAGATGTTAGCTACCTCGCCTGGTCTACAGGAGGTCGTGGGTTCGACCCTGACGATTGCCTGCTGCTGCTGTATATTTGGAGTCTGCGTCTCTCTCTCCTGTGGTCGCGTGGATTTTTCTCTGGCCCCATTTTTTTTACCTCCGCATCTCGAATCAACAAGCATGCGTTTCGCCTATTTGGCTGCTACTTTAAATTTCCACACGATGACGAGCCACTTGGTTGCGCTATCATTTGTGGCCAGATCGCTTCTGACAAAGTGGGCCTTACCTGGTAAGATAAAAATAGTTTAATTATTATTTTTTAAAGCGATTTGTTCACCTTTTATTTTTGCATCCCTATCGTGCTTTTGTGTTGTTGCTACGTTGTGACCCGGTGCCCTGACTGGACATCTGTTAGAAAGAGCTCCACAGCTCATGGGATTCCTCCACTAGAAATAAAGATCCTGATTGTGGACACAGGCCACCTGCGCCAGCAGCGCCCGGCGGCACGGCTTGCGCCGCTGACACGCGCTGCCGCCGTGTGCAGGGCAAGGGCGCGGCAGGAGCTCAGACCAGCGGTGCCACCAGCAGCAGCACCAGCAGCAGCGCCGCCGCCGCTGCACCCGCCGCCACGCAGGAACCAGCGGCGCCAGCCCCCGTGGCGGCCGCACCGCCCGCCAGCCGGCCCTCCGCGGAGGCCGGCGCCGCGCCAGCCACACAGCCCGCGCCCAGGTACCAGCACTCACCCGCCCGCCCAGTCGGCGCTGCTGCTCCCACCGCTAGAGTTGAACACAGAGATGAGCGCCCACCCCTCCCACCCCCATCCTGATGGCTTTGCTCAGCTGGGGCAGTGAGGCCCCCCCCTTCCCCCCCCCATCTCTTCTCTACGGCTCAGTTGCGTCGGCACGGATCTTCGCAACGTGTCGATCCGTGGACTTGACTTGCACGACGGCTTGTCGCGGGCCTCCGTGTTTTGTTAATGATTAAAACGACAAAACTAGCAGAGCAACCGAGGCCTGTGTGCCCCGCACGGCTTTGGCTCGGCCTCGGCCTCTCAACGCTTCCAAAGACGCACGCGGCACGAGACACCCACCCGGGCTCGTGCCGCGGGAGTCGTGAGCGCGGCGGGGATCCGTGGCTCGGAGCCGATTCGGCTGACGCGCAACTTTGAGCTGGCTGGCCTGAGCCGGAGCCAAGTCTGAGTCGAGCCAAGTCTGAGTCGAGCCATCGCCAGCAATGCGGGTCGGGGACACGATCGCCGTAGCGGAGGGGCGGTGGTGTAGCGGTTAGCGCTACTCTGCACTACGAACTTGGCGACCCGGGTTTGATTCCCGCTCACAGCAAACACCAGTGACGATTATCTGAACCGGTCCTGGGCCTCCCCTAGGTCGACTAAGCCTCAAATGAGTACCTGGTGCGGCGTGTAAACATCGGCACTGGGGAGACAAAGGCGGCCGGGCGTGGTGTTGGCCTCGTGTACCGTTCCGGCCTTCATAGGTGCTCGCTAACAGCACTTGCCCCTACAGTCTGTTAAGGCTATACGGGGGACCTTTGTCTTTGTGGTGCTGTGTGTGTGGTGGTGCTGTGTGTGTGTGGTGCTGTGTGTGTGGTGGTGCTGTGTGTGTGTGGTGCTGCATGTGTGTGGTGCTGCATGTGTGTGGTGCTGTGTGTGTGGTGCTGTGTGTGTGGTGCTGTGTGTGTGGAGGTTTACCGCAGCCTTCGCTCGGAAGTTCGGAGAGCCGTAAGGCGCTGTAAGGATGGGTGGTGGTCGCGGGTTGCTGAGGAGATGGAGTCTGCCTCAGTGGCCCGTGATCACAAATCACTATTTAACTCCATCACAAAAGTAACTTGCAGCGCCACACCTATTACCATCATTAGAGGAAAAAACGGTGATCCAATCTCCGACCCCCAGGAACAGGTTTGCAGATTTGCTGAGCATTTCTGTGAGGTCCTGGGGGAGGGAAATTCTCTCAACCAGGAAAACATCATGGCACAAAGTGGTGATAACCCTGCTGAGGCTGCGGTGCCTCAAATATTGGAAGAGGTCACCCCCTGTGAGTGGCTGGCTGAGGTGCCAGCTGTTGAGGAAGTACTGAGGGCGATCCGGAGTCTGAGACCAGGGAAGGCACCGGGCAGAGATGATCTCCCAAGCGAAATGCTGAGGGAGGGTGGTGTTTGTGCACAGACTGCCCTATATGACATCATAACAACAGTCTGGACCACTGGACGGGTTCCGCAGGACTGGAAGGATGCCCTGGTGGTCCCCCTCTTTAAGAAGGGGGACCGTACCGACTGTAACAACTACAGGGGCATCTCACTCCTCAGTGTGCCGGGTAAGGTCCTGGCAAGGATTATTCAACATCGCCTTGCTAGGCACGCTGAGGAGAGGCTTGCGGAGCCCCAATGCGGTTTCAGGAAAGGGCGGTCCTGTACAGATGCCATATTTTCTGTCCGTCTGCTACAGCAGAGGTGTAGGGAATTCCAAAAAGACCTACATCTCTGCTTTATTGAACTGGTCAAGGCATATGATACCATCAGTAGGACTGGGCTCTGGGTTGTTCTTCGTGCTTTCGGAGTCCCTGACCCTCTGCTCACGATCATTAAGGACCTTCATGATGGTGAGCGGGCCCGGGTAAAACTACGTGGCCGGGAGTCGGAGCCTTTCCCTGTACACCTTGGGGTGCGACAGGGATGTCCTCTGGCTCCCACATTATTTAACATCTATTTTGACCGCGTAGTTCGTCAAGCCTTCAATAGCTGTACCGGGGGAATATCCATTTGGTACAGATATAATGGGAGGCTGATCGATGCCCGGGTGCGATCAAGGGATGGCTCCCTATTGGTCAACCACGTTATGTATGCCGATGATTTGGTAATAGCTGCTCATTCAGAAGAGGAGTTGGAGACGCTGCTGCTGAGACTGGAGCGTGCCACTAAGAGGTGGGGCCTTACCATCAGCCCCACCAAAACTAAGCACCTGCCTGGGTATTTTGTACCATCGGACACTCCACCCCCACAACTGCCAATTGGTGATGGGGCAGTTGTGGAGAGAGTGGAGAGTTTCCCATACCTGGGCAATGTGCTTATGACCGGCTCCAGTTTATCAGCAGAGGTCTCACTCCGAATCAGTCGAGCGGCAATATCTTTTCATCGGTTGCGTAACGCTGTGTGGAAGCTACCTGGTCTGTCGCTCCGCACGAAGCTTCAGGTCTTCTCGGCCACGGTCATTCCCTCCCTTCTCTACGCTTGCGAAACGTGGACCCCCCTAGTGGAGCATCTTCGCCGGTTGGAAACATTTAGGCTGGCCTGCCTACGATCCATCCTGGGTTTAACCAGGCTGGATTGTGTGAGGAGCTCACAAGTCCTTGAAAGATCTGGGCAAAGTCCCATCAGTGAGCTCCCCCGGCAGGCAAGGCTGCGTTGGCTGGGTCATGCAGCCCGCATGCCCAGCCACCGCATGCCTAAACAGCTTTTGTTCGGCCGGATCGAGGGGGCTAAACGGGCGTGGCACGGGCTAGAGAAGAGATGGAGTGATGTGGTACAGGAGGACGTGGAGCTGATTGGACTTGCCGATGACTGGTACCAGCGGTGTCAAGATCGGCCTCAGTGGAGGAGGCTCGTGAAGGACGCTACTGGGCAGTTGGAGGCAGTCGCCCTCCAACAACAACGGAGGGCGGAGGAGCGACGCTCACAACAACGAGCGGAGCGCCGGGTGGCTAAAGCACAGCAAGTTGGTACAGTAGGGGGTACAGGTGGTGCATCAGCCAGTCATCTCGGTCATCTCGGTCAGTCGACCCGTGGCACCTGGGTCTGCCCCGTGACCTCCTGCCAGCGGGCGTTCGACACTTCACGTGGCCTCAAGGTGCACATGGCCTGGCACAAGCGTCGTGGTGACGTCACCGCCACTTAGTGGCGAATGGCGGTTGTTGTTGTTGTTGTGTGGTGCTGCGTGTGTGGTGCTGTGTGTGTGTGGTGCTGTGTGTGTGTGGTGCTGTGTGTGGTGATGTGTGTGTGTGGTGCTGTGTGTGTGTGGTGCTGTGTGTGTGGTGCTGCGTGTGTGGTGCTGTGTGTGTGTGGTGCTGTGTGTGTGGTGCTGTGTGTGTGGTGCTGTGTGTGTGGTGCTGTGTGTGTGGTGCTGTGGTGTGGTGCTGTGTGGTGTGGTGTGTGTGTGGTGCTGTGTGTGTGTGGTGCTGTGTGTGTGTGGTGCTGTGTGTGGTGCTGTGTGTGTGGTGCTGTGTGTGTGGTGCTGTGTGTGTGGTGCTGCGTGTGTGGTGCTGCGTGTGGTGGTGCTGGTGTGTGTGTGGTGCTGCGTGTATGTGTGGTGCTGCGTGTGTGGTGGTGCTGTGTGTGGTGGTGCTGCGTGTGGTGGTGCTGCTGGTGTGGTGCTGTGTGTGGTGCTGTGTGTGTGGTGCTGTGTGTGTGTGGTGCTGTGTGTGTGTGGTGCTGCTGTGTGGTGCTGTGGTGTGTGGTGCTGTGTGTGTGTGCTGTGTGTGTGTGGTGCGTGTGCAGTGTGTGTGGTGCTGTGTGTGCGGTGTGTGTGGTGCTGTGTGTGTGTTGTGTGGTGTGTGTGGTGCTGCGTGTGGGTGCTGTGTGTGTGTGTGTGCTGTGTGGGTGGGTATGTGTGTGTTGGTGCTGTGTGTGTGTGTGTGGTGCTGTGTGTGTGGTGCTGTGTGTGTGTGTGGTGCTGCGTGTGTGTGGTGCTGCGTGTGTGTGGTGCTGCGTGTGTGTGGTGCTGAGTCTGTGGTGCTGCGTGTGTGGTGCTGTGCGTGTGTGGTGCTGTGTGTGTGGTGCTGTGTGTGTGGTGCTGTGTGTGTGTGTGGTGCTGTGTGTGTGTGTGGTGCTGTGTGTGTGTGTGGTGCTGTTTGTGTGTGTGGTGCTGTGTGTGTGTGGTGCTGTGTGTGTGGTGCTGTGTGTGTGGTGCTGTGTGTGTGTGTGGTGCTGCGTGTGTGTGGTGGTGCTGTGTGTGGTGGTTCTGCGTGTGTGTGTGGTGCTGTGTGTGTGGTCCTGTGTGTGTGGTGCTGTGTGTGTGTGGTGCTGTGTGTGTGGTGCTGTGTGTGTGTGGTGCTGTGTGTGTGGTGCTGCGTGTGTGGGTGGTGCTGCGTGTGTGTGTGGGCTGCGTGTTGGGTGCTGCGTGTGTGGTGCTGCGTGTGTGTGTGCTGTGTGTGTGTGTGGTGCTGTGTGTGTGGTGCTGTGTGTGTGTGGTGCTGTGTGTGTGTGTGGTCTGTGTGTGTCTGGTGCTGTGTGTGTGTGTGGTACTGCGTGTGTGTGGTGCTGCGTGTGTGTGGTGCTGCGTGTGTGGTGCTGCGTGTGTGTGGTGCTGCGTGTGTGTGGTGCTGTGTGTGTGTGGTGCTGTGTGTGTGTGGTGCTGGTGTGTGTGTGTGGTGCTGTGTGTGTGTGGTGCTGCGTGTGTGTGGTGCTGCGTGTGTGTGGTGCTGCGTGTGTGTTGTGCTGTGTGTGTGTGTGGTGCTGCGTGTGTGGTGCTGCGTGTGTGGTGCGGTGCTGCGTGTGTGTGGTGCTGTGTGTGTGGTGCTGTGTGTGTGTGTGGTGCTGTGTGTGTGGTGCTGCGTGTGTGTGTGGTGCTGCGTGTGTGTGTGGTGCTGCGTGTGTGTGGTGCTGTGTGTGTGGTGCTGTGTGTGTGTGTGGTGCTGTGTGTGTGTGGTGCTGTGTGTGTTGGTGCTGCGTGTGTGTGTGGTGCTGCGTGTGTGTGGTGCTGCGTGTGTGTGTGGTGCTGCGTGTGTGTGGTGCTGCGTGTGTGTGGTGCTGTGTGTGTGGTGCTGTGTGTGTGTGGTGCTGTGTGTGTGTTGTGCTGTGTGTGTGTGGTGCTGTGTGTGTGGTGCTGTGTGTGTGGTGCTGTGTGTGTGTGGTGCTGTGTGTGTGTGGTGCTGTGTGTGTGTGTGGTGCTGTGTGTGTGGTGCTGTGTGTGTGGTGCTGTGTGTGTGGCGCAGCGTGTGTGGCGCTGTGTGTGTGTGGTGGTGCTGCGTGTGTGTGGTGCTGCGTGTGTGGTGCTGCGTGTGTGTGGTGCTGTGTGTGTGTGTGGTCCTGTGTGTGTGTGTGGTGCTGTGTGTGTGTGTGGTGCTGTGTGTGTGTGGTGCTGTGTGTGTATGGTGCTGTGTGTGTGTGGTGCTGTGTGTGGTGCTGCGTGTGTGTGTGGTGCTGCGTGTGTGTGTGGTGCTGTGTGTGTGGTGCTGCGTGTGTGTGGTGCTGCGTGTGTGTGTGGTGCTGTGTGTGTGTGGTGTGTGTGTGGTGCTGTGTGTGGTGCTGTGTGTGTGTGGTGCTGTGTGTGTGTGTGGTGCTGTGTGTGTGTGGTGCTGTGTGTGTATGGTGCTGTGTGGAAAGGGCGGTCCTGCACAGATGCCATATTTTCTGTCCGTCTGCTACAGCAGAGGTGTAGGGAATTCCAAAAAGACCTACATCTCTGCTTTATTGACCTGGTCAAGGCCTATGATACCATCAGTAGGCCTGGGCTCTGGGTTGTTCTTCGTGCTTTCGGAGTCCCTGACCCTCTGCTCACGATCATTAAGGACCTTCATGATGGTGAGCGGGCCCGGGTAAAACTACGTGGCCGGGAGTCGGAGCCTTTCCCTGTACACCTTGGGGTGCGACAGGGATGTCCTCTGGCTCCCACATTATTTAACATCTATTTTGACCGCGTAGTTCGTGAAGCCTTCAATAGCTGTACCGGGGGAATTTCCATTTGGTACAGATATAATGGGAGGCTGATCGACGCCCGGGTGCGATCAAGGGATGGCTCCCTATTGGTCAACCACGTTATGTATGCCGATGATTTGGTAATAGCTGCTCACTCAGAGGAGGAGTTGGAGACGCTGCTGCTGAGACTGGAGCGTGCCACTAAGAGGTGGGGCCTTACCATCAGCCCCACCAAAACTAAGCACCTGCCTGGGTATTTTGTACCATCGGACACTCCACCCCCACAACTCCCAATTGGTGATGGGGCAGTTGTGGAGAGAGTGGAGAGTTTCCCATACCTGGGCAGTGTGCTTATGACCGGCTCCAGTCTATCAGCAGAGGTCTCACTCCGAATCAGTCGAGCGGCAATATCTTTTCATCGGTTGCGTAACGCTGTGTGGAAGCTACCTGGTCTGTCGCTTCGCACGAAGCTTCAGGTCTTCTCGGCCACGGTCATTCCCTCCCTTCTCTACGCTTGCGAGACGTGGACCCCCCTGGTGGAGCATCTTCGCCGGTTGGAAACATTTAGGCTGGCCTGCCTACGATCCATCCTGGGTTTAACCAGGCTGGATTGTGTGAGGAGCTCACAAATCCTTGAAAGATCTGGGCAAAGTCCCATCAGTGAGCTCCTCCGGCAGGCAAGGCTGCGTTGGCTGGGTCATGTAGCCCGCATGCCCAGCCACCGCATGCCTAAACAGCTTTTGTTCGGCCGGATCGAGGGGGCTAGACGGGCGCGGCACGGGCTGGAGAAGAGATGGAGTGATGTGGTACAGGAGGACGTGGAGCTGAGTGGACTTGCCGATGACTGGTACCAGCGGTGTCAAGATCGGCCTCAGTGGAGGAGGCTCGTGAAGGACGCTACTGGGCAGTTGGAGGCAGTCGCCCTCCAACAACAACGGAGGGCGGAGGAGCGACGCTCACAACAACGAGCGGAGCGCCGGGTGGCTAAAGCACAGCAAGTTGGCACAGTAGGGGGCACAGGTGGTGCATCAGCCAGTCATCTCGGTCATCTCGGTCAGTCGACCCGTGGCACCTGCTGGGTCTGCCCCGTGACCTCCTGCCAGCGGGCTTTCGACACTTCACGTGGCCTCAAGGTGCACTTGGCCTGGCACAAGCATCGTGGTGACGTCACCGCCACTTAGTGGCGAATGGCGGTTGTTGTTGTTGTTGTATGGTGCTGTGTGTGTGTGGTGCTGTGTGTGTGGTGCTGTGTGTGGTGCTGCGTGTGTGTGGTGCTGCGTGTGTGTGTGGTGCTGCGTGTGTGTGGTGCTGCGTGTGTGGTGCTGCGTGTGTGTGGTGTGTGACGGTGGGTCCCTCTCCCACGTGCCCCCTCCCTCCCCCTTCACCCCCCCCCCTCCACCCCCCCTCTCCCCCCCCTCCTAGCCCAGCGGTGACGACGCCCCCCACCCCTGCCGGCGCCAGCGGCGCCAGCGGCAGCCTCGTCGACGCCGCCTCCTCCACGCTGGGTACCGGCACGGCACCACCACCGTCGTGGCTAGCACCACCACCACCACCGTCGTGGCTAGCATCACCACCGCCGTGGCTAGCATCACCACCACCATGGCTAGCATCACCACCAAGGGTAGCATCACCACCACTATGGCTAGCATCACCACCACCATGGCTAGCATCACCACCAAGGGTAGCATCACCACCACCGTGGCTAGCATCACCACCACCATGGCTAGCATCACCATCACCGTGGCTAGCATCACCACCATGGCTAGCATCACCACCACCATGGCTAGCATCACCACCATGGCTAGCATCACCACCACCGTGGCTAGCATCACCACCATGGCTAGCATCACCACCACCATGGCTAGCATCACCACCAAGGCTAGCATCACCACCACCATGGCTAGCATCACCACCACCATGGCTAGCATCACCACCATGGCTAGCATCACCACCACCGTGGCTAGCATCACCACCATGGCTAGCATCACCACCACCGTGGCTAGCATCACCACCGTGAGCATCACCACCATGGCTAGCATCACCACCACCATGGCTAGCATCACCACCACCATGGCTAGCATCACCACCACCATGGCTAGCATCACCACCACCATGGCTAGCATCACCACCATGGCTAGCATCACCACCACCGTGGCTAGCATCACCACCATGGCTAGCATCACCACCACCGTGGCTAGCATCACCACCGTGGCTAGCATCACCACCATGGCTAGCATCACCACCACCATGGCTAGCATCACCACCACCATGGCTAGCATCACCACCATGGCTAGCATCACCACCATGGCTAGCATCACCACCATGGCTAGCATCACCACCACCGTGGCTAGCATCACCACCACCATGGCTAGCATCACCACCATGGCTAGCATCACCACCACCATGGCTAGCATCACCACCACCATGGCTAGCATCACCACCACCATGGCTAGCATCACCACCACCATGGCTAGCATCACCACCACCATGGCTAGCATCACCACCACCATGGCTAGCATCACCACCATGGCTAGCATCACCACCACCGTGGCTAGCATCACCACCGTGGCTAGCACCACCACCGTGGCTAGCATCACCACCACCGTGGCTAGCATCACCACCACCGTGGCTAGCATCACCACCACCGTGGCTAGCATCACCACCACCGTGGCTAGCATCACCACCACCGTGGCTAGCATCACCACCACCATGGCTAGCATCACCACCATGGCTAGCATCACCACCACCATGGCTAGCATCATCACCGTGGCTTGCATCACCACCACCATGGCTAGCATCACCACCGTGGCTAGCATCACCACCACCATGGCTAGCATCACCACCACCGTGGCTAGCATCACAACCACCGTGGCTAGCATCACCACCACCATGGCTAGCATCACCACCATGGCTAGCATCACCACCACCATGGCTAGCATCATCACCGTGGCTTGCATCACCACCACCATGGCTAGCATCACCACCGTGGCTAGCATCACCACCCACCATGGCTAGCATCACCACCACCACCATGGCTAGCATCACCACCACCATGGCTAGCATCACCACCACCATGGCTAGCATCACCACCACCATGGCTAGCATCATCACCACCACCATGGCTAGCATCACCACCACCGTGGCTAGCATCACCACCACCATGGCTAGCATCACCACCATGGCTAGCATCACCACCATGGCTAGCATCACCACCGTGGCTAGCATCACCACCACCATGGCTAGCATCACCACCGTGGCTAGCATCACCACCACCGTGGCTAGCATCACCACCACCATGGCTAGCATCACCACCGTGGCTAGCATCACCACCACCATGGCTAGCATCACCACCACCGTGGCTAGCATCACCACCGTGGCTAGCTTCACCACCGTGGCTAGCATCACCACCGTGGCTAGCATCACCACCGTGGCTAGCATCACCACCATGGTTAGCATCACCACCACCGTGGCTAGCATAACCACCACCATGGCTAGCATCACCACCGTGGCTAGCATCACCACCACCGTGGCTAGCATCACCACCATGGCTAGCATCACCACCACCGTGGCTAGCATCACCACCACCATGGCTAGCATCACCACCGTGGCTAGCATCACCACCACCATGGCTAGCATCACCACCACCATGGCTAGCATCACCACCATGGCTAGCATCACCACCACCGTGGCTAGCATCACCACCATGGCTAGCATCACCACCACCGTGGCTAGCATCACCACCACCATGGCTAGCATCACCACCATGGCTAGCATCACCACCACCGTGGCTAGCATCACCACCATGGCTAGCATCACCACCACCATGGCTAGCATCACCACCATGGCTAGCATCACCACCATGGCTAGCATCACCACCACCATGGCTAGCATCACCACCACCATGGATAGCATCACCACCGTGGCTAGCATCACCACCACCATGGATAGCATCACCACCGTGGCTAGCATCACCACCACCATGGCTAGCATCACCACCATGGATAGCATCACCACCACCGTGGCTAGCATCACCACCACCCACCATGGCTAGCATCACCCCACATGGCTAGCATCACCACCACCACCATGGCTAGCATCACCACCACCATGGCTAGCATCACCACCACCATGGCTAGCATCACCACCACCATGGCTAGCATCACCACCACCACCATGGCTAGCATCACCACCACCATGGCTAGCATCACCACCACCGTGGCTAGCATCACCACCACCATGGCTAGCATCACCACCATGGCTAGCATCACCACCATGGCTAGCATCACCACCATGGCTAGCATCACCACCATGGCTAGCATCACCACCACCACCATGGCTAGCATCACCACCACCGTGGCTAGCATCACCACCACCGTGGCTAGCATCACCACCACCGTGGCTAGCATCACCACCACCATGGCTAGCATCACCACCACCATGGCTAGCATCACCACCACCATGGCTAGCATCACCACCACCATGGCTAGCATCACCACCACCATGGCTAGCATCACCACCACCGTGGCTAGCATCACCACCACCGTGGCTAGCATCACCACCATGGCTAGCATCACCACCACCATGGCTAGCATCACCACCACCGTGGCTAGCATCACCACCACCATGGCTAGCATCACCACCACCGTGGCTAGCATCACCACCACCGTGGCTAGCATCACCACCATGGCTAGCATCACCACCACCGTGGCTAGCATCACCACCACCATGGCTAGCATCACCACCACCATGGCTAGCATCACCACCACCGTGGCTAGCATCACCACCGTGACTAGCATCACCACCACCATGGCTAGCATCACCACCACCGTAGCTAGCATCACCACCACCATGGCTAGCATCACCACCACCGTGGCTAGCTTCACCACCGTGGCTAGCATCACCACCACTATGGCTAGCATCACCACCGTGGCTAGCATCACCACCACCATGGCTAGCATCACCACCACCGTAGCTAGCATCACCACCACCATGGCTAGCATCACCACCACCATGGCTAGCATCACCACCATGGCTAGCATCACCACCACCATGGCTAGCATCACCACCACCGTGGCTAGCATCACCACCATGGCTAGCATCACCACCACCATGGCTAGCATCACCACCACCGTGGCTAGCATCACCACCATGGCTAGCATCACCACCACCATGGCTAGCATCACCACCACCGTGGCTAGCATCACCACCATGGCTAGCATCACCACCACCGTGGCTAGCATCACCACCATGGCTAGCATCACCACCATGGCTAGCATCACCACCACCGTGGCTAGCATCACCACCATGGCTAGCATCACCACCACCGTGGCTAGCATCACCACCATGGCTAGCATCACCACCACCGTGGCTAGCATCACCACCACCATGGCTAGCATCACCACCATGGCTAGCATCACCATCACCATGGCTAGCATCACCACCGTGGCTAGCATCACCACCACCGTGGCTAGCATCACCACCATGGCTAGCATCACCACCATGGCTAGCATCATCACCATGGCTAGCATCACCACCACCATGGCTAGCATCACCACCACCATGGCTAGCATCACCACCATGGCTAGCATCACCATCACCATGGCTAGCATCACCACCACCGTGGCTAGCATCACCACCACCATGGCTAGCATCACCACCACTGTGGCTAGCATCACCATCACCACCGCCGTGGCTAGCATCACCATCACCACCACCGTGGCTAGCATCACCACCGCCGTGGCTAGCATCACCACCACCATGGCTAGCGTCACCACCACCATGGCTAGCATCACCACCACCGTGGCTAGCGTCACCACCACCGTGGCTAGCGTCACCACCACCATGGCTAGCGTCACTACCACCATGGCTAGCATCACCTCCACCGTGGCTAGCATCACCACCACCGTGGCTAGCATCACCACCACCGTGGCTAGCGTCACCACCACCGTGGCTAGCGTCACCACCACCATGGCTAGCATCACCACCACCGTGGCTAGCATCACCACCACCGTGGCTAGCGTCACCACCACCGTGGCTAGCATCACCACCACCATGGCTAGCATCACCACCACCGTGGCTAGCATCACCATCACCACCGCCGTGGCTAGCATCACCATCACCACCACCGTGGCTAGCATCACCACCGCCGTGGCTAGCATCACCACCACCATGGCTAGCGTCACCACCACCATGGCTAGCATCACCACCACCGTGGCTAGCGTCACCACCACCGTGGCTAGCGTCACCACCACCATGGCTAGCGTCACCACCACCATGGCTAGCATCACCACCACCGTGGCTAGCATCACCACCACCGTGGCTAGCATCACCACCACCGTGGCTAGCGTCACCACCACCATGGCTAGCATCACCACCACCGTGGCTAGCATCACCACCACCGTGGCTAGCGTCACCACCACCGTGGCTAGCGTCACCACCACCATGGCTAGCATCACCACCGCCGTGGCTAGCATCACCACCACCATGGCTAGCGTCACCACCACCATGGCTAGCATCACCACCACCGTGGCTAGCATCACCACCACCGTGGCTGGCGTCACCACCACCATGGCTAGCATCACCACCACCATGGCTAGCATCTCCACCACCGTGGCTAGCATCACCACCACCATGGCTAGCATCACCACCACCGTGGCTAGCATCACCACCATGGCTAGCATCACCACCACCGTGGCTAGCATCACCACCATGGCTAGCATCACCACCACCGTGGCTAGCATCACCACCATGGCTAGCATCACCACCACCGTGGCTAGCATCACCACCATGGCTAGCATCACCACCATGGCTAGCATCACCACCGTGGCTAGCATCACCACCGTGGCTAGCATCACCACCACATGGCTAGCATCACCACCGTGGCTAGCACCACCACCATGGCTAGCATCACCACCGTGGCTAGCATCACCACCACCGTGGCTAGCATCACCACCGTGGCTAGCATCACCACCACCATGGCTAGCATCACCACCACCGTCGTGGCTAGCATCACCATCACCGTGGCTAGCATCACCACCACCGTCGTGGCTAGCATCACCACCACCATGGCTAGCATCACCACCACCGTCGTGGCTAGCATCACCACCACCATGGCTAGCATCACCACCGCCGTGGCTAGCATCACCACCATGGCTAGCATCACCACCACCGTGGCTAGCATCACCACCGTGGCTAGCATCACCACCGTGGCTAGCATCACCACCACCATGGCTAGCATCACCACCACCATGGCTAGCATCACCACCACCGTGGCTAGCATCACCACCGTGGCTAGCATCACCACCGTGGCTAGCATCACCACCACCATGGCTAGCATCACCACCATGGCTAGCATCACCACCGTGGCTAGCATCACCACCGTGGCTAGCATCACCACCACCATGGCTAGCATCACCACCACCGTGGCTAGCATCACCACCACCATGGCTAGCATCACCACCACCATGGCTAGCATCACCACCACCGTGGCTAGCATCACCACCGTGGCTAGCATCACCACCATGGCTAGCATCACCACCACCGTGGCTAGCATCACCACCACCGTGGCTAGCATCACCACCATGGCTAGCATCACCACCACCATGGCTAGCATCACCACCACCATGGCTAGCATCACCACCATGGCTAGCATCACCACCATGGCTAGCATCACCACCACCGTGGCTAGCATCACCACCATGGCTAGCATCACCACCACCGTGGCTAGCATCACCACCATGGCTAGCATCACCACCACCGTGGCTAGCATCACCACCACCATGGCTAGCATCACCACCATGGCTAGCATCACCATCACCATGGCTAGCATCACCACCGTGGCTAGCATCACCACCACCGTGGCTAGCATCACCACCATGGCTAGCATCACCACCATGGCTAGCATCATCACCATGGCTAGCATCACCACCACCATGGCTAGCATCACCACCACCATGGCTAGCATCACCACCATGGCTAGCATCACCATCACCATGGCTAGCATCACCACCACCGTGGCTAGCATCACCACCACCATGGCTAGCATCACCACCACCGTGGCTAGCATCACCATCACCACCGCCGTGGCTAGCATCACCATCACCACCACCGTGGCTAGCATCACCACCGCCGTGGCTAGCATCACCACCACCATGGCTAGCGTCACCACCACCATGGCTAGCATCACCACCACCGTGGCTAGCGTCACCACCACCGTGGCTAGCGTCACCACCACCATGGCTAGCGTCACTACCACCATGGCTAGCATCACCACCACCATGGCTAGCATCACCACCACCATGGCTAGCATCACCACCACCGTGGCTAGCGTCACCACCACCGTGGCTAGCATCACCACCACCGTGGCTAGCATCACCACCACCATGGCTAGCGTCACCACCACCATGGCTAGCATCACCACCACCGTGGCTAGCGTCACCACCACCGTGGCTAGCGTCACCACCACCATGGCTAGCGTCACTACCACCATGGCTAGCATCACCTCCACCGTGGCTAGCATCACCACCACCGTGGCTAGCATCACCACCACCATGGCTAGCGTCACCACCACCATGGCTAGCATCACCACCACCGTGGCTAGCGTCACCACCACCGTGGCTAGCGTCACCACCACCATGGCTAGCGTCACTACCACCATGGCTAGCATCACCTCCACCGTGGCTAGCATCACCACCACCGTGGCTAGCATCACCACCACCGTGGCTAGCGTCACCACCACCGTGGCTAGCGTCACCACCACCATGGCTAGCATCACCACCACCGTGGCTAGCATCACCACCACCGTGGCTAGCGTCACCACCACCGTGGCTAGCATCACCACCACCGTGGCTAGCATCACCATCACCACCGCCGTGGCTAGCATCACCATCACCACCACCGTGGCTAGCATCACCACCGCCGTGGCTAGCATCACCACCACCATGGCTAGCGTCACCACCACCATGGCTAGCATCACCACCACCGTGGCTAGCGTCACCACCACCGTGGCTAGCGTCACCACCACCATGGCTAGCGTCACCACCACCATGGCTAGCATCACCACCACCGTGGCTAGCATCACCACCACCGTGGCTAGCATCACCACCACCGTGGCTAGCGTCACCACCACCGTGGCTAGCATCACCACCACCGTGGCTAGCATCACCACCACCGTGGCTAGCGTCACCACCACCGTGGCTAGCGTCACCACCACCATGGCTAGCATCACCACCGCCGTGGCTAGCATCACCACCACCATGGCTAGCGTCACCACCACCATGGCTAGCATCACCACCACCGTGGCTAGCATCACCACCACCGTGGCTGGCGTCACCACCACCATGGCTAGCATCACCACCACCATGGCTAGCATCTCCACCACCGTGGCTAGCATCACCACCACCATGGCTAGCATCACCACCGCCGTGGCTAGCATCACCACCGTGGCTAGCATCACCACCGTCGTGGCTAGCATCACCACCACCATGGCTAGCATCACCACCGCCGTGGCTAGCATCACCACCATGGCTAGCATCACCACCACCATGGCTAGCATCACCACCGTGGATAGCATCACCGTTGAGCCAACCTGAACCCTTTCAACACCGACCACATTGTATCGTTTTGTAAACTCAGTTCGGCTTATAGGGATTGTTGTTGTTGGATTGAATGGAGGCATGACTGCTTCGTCCTTACACGCTACTTTTTTATTTTCTGGGTAGTTGCCACTAGATGGCAGCAGCAGACGTGGTCACCACTCGCTTGTACACACTTGTGTACGCGCTTGTGTACACGCTTGTGATTGTGATTCTGATGGGGGAGATGTTTTAGATGGGAGATGATTGTGATTCTGATGGGAGATGTCTCAGATTGGAGGTGATTGTGATTCTGATGGGAGATGTCTCAGATGGGAGATGATTGTTATTCTGATGGGAGATGTCTCAGATTGGAGGTGATTGTGATTCTGATGGGAGATGTCTCAGATGGGAGATGATTGTGATTCTGACGGGAGATGTCTCAGATGGGAGATGATTGTGATTCTGACGGGAGATGTCTCAGATGGGAGATGATTGTGATTCTGATGGGAGATGTCTCAGATTGGAGGTGATTGCGATTGTGACGGGCGTGGCGTGTGTGTGCTGTGTGCGGCTGGCAGTGACAGGCCAGGCCTACGAGAACATGGTGCAGGAGATGGTGCTCATGGGCTACGAGCGCGAGCGCGTCGTGGCGGCGCTGCGCTCCAGCTTCAACAACCCCGACCGCGCCGTCGAGTACCTCCTCACGGTGCGCGACAGCAGCCGCTACGCACACAGCTACACACAGCTACACACAGCTACACACAGCTATACACAGAGCCACACAGCTACACAGCTACACACAGCTACACAGCTACACACAGCTACACACAGCTACACAGCTACACACAGCTACACACAGCTACACAGCTACACACAGCTACACAGCTACACACAGCTACACACAGCTACACACAGCTACACACAGAGCCACACTGCTACACACAGAGCCACACTGCTACTCACAGAGCCACACAGCTACTCACAGAGCCACACTGCTACTCACAGAGCCACACTGCTACTCACAGAGCCACACTGCTACTCACAGAGCCACACAGCTACACACAGCCACACTGCTACTCACAGAGCCACACTGCTACACACAGAGCCACACTGCTACTCACAGAGCCACACTGCTACTCACAGAGCCACACTGCTACACACAGAGCCACACTACTACACACAGAGCCACACAGCTACACACAGAGCCACACTGCTACTCACAGAGCCACACTGCTACACACAGAGCCACACTGCTACACACAGAGCCACACAGCTACACACAGAGCCACACAGCTACACACAGAGCTACACTGCTACTCACAGAGCCACACCGCTACACACAGAGCCACACTGCTACTCACAGAGCCACACTGCTACTCACAGAGCCACTCTGCTACTCACAGAGCCACACTGCTACTCACAGAGCCACACTGACACCGCTACTCACAGAGCCACACAGCTACACACAGAGCCACACAGCTACTCACAGAGCCACACTGCTACTCACAGAGCCACACTGCTACTCACAGAGCCACACTGCTACTCACAGAGCCACACTGCTACTCACAGAGCCACTCTGCTACTCACAGAGCCACACTGCTACTCACAGAGCCACACTGACACCGCTACTCACAGAGCCACACAGCTACACACAGAGCCACACAGCTACTCACAGAGCCACACTGCTACTCACAGAGCCACACTGCTACTCACAGAGCCACACTGCTACTCACAGAGCCACACTGCTACTCACAGAGCCACACTGCTACTCACAGAGCCACACTGCTACTCACAGAGCCACACTGCTACACACAGAGCCACACTGCTACTCACAGAGCCACACTGCTACTCACAGAGCCACACTGCTACACACAGAGCCACTCTGCTACACACAGAGCCACACTGCTACTCACAGAGCCACACTGACACCGCTACTCACAGAGCCACACTGCTACTCACAGAGCCACACTGCTACTCAACCAGAGCCACACTGCTACTCACAGAGCCACACTGCTACTCACAGAGCCACACTGCTACACACAGAGCCACACTGCTACTCACAGAGCCACACTGCTACTCACAGAGCCACACTGCTACTCACAGAGCCACACTGCTACTCACAGAGCCACACTGCTACACACAGAGCCACACGAGCAGCCACACACAGAGCCACACAGCTACTCACAGAGCCACACTACTACACACAGAGCCACACTGCTACTCACAGAGCCACACAGCTACACACAGAGCTACACTGCTACTCACAGAGTCACACTGCTACACACAGAGCCACACAGCTACTCACAGAGCCACACCGCTACACACAGAGCCACACCGCTACTCACAGAGCCACACAGCTACTCACAGAGCCACACAGCTACACACAGCCACACACAGCCACACAGCTACACACAGCCACACACAGCCACACACAGCTACACACAGCTACACACAGCTACACACAGCTACACACAGCCACACACAGCTACACACAGCCACACACAGCTACACACAGCTACACACAGCTACACACAGCTACACAGCTACACACAGCTACACACAGCTACAGCTACACACAGAGCTACACAGCCACACACAGAGCCACACTGCTACTCACAGAGCCACACTGCTACTCACAGAGCCACTCAGCTACACACAGAGCTACACAGCTACTCACAGAGCCACACTGCTACTCACAGAGCTACACAGCTACACACAGAGCCACACAGCTACACACAGAGCCACACAGCTACACACAGAGCCACACAGCTACTCACAGAGCCACACTGCTACTCACAGAGCCACACTACTACTCACAGAGCCACACTGTTACACACAGAGCCACACTGCTACTCACAGAGCCACACTACTACTCACAGAGCCATACTGCTACTCACAGAGCCACACTGCTACTCACAGAGCCACACAGCTACTCACAGAGCCACACAGCTACACACAGAGCCACACCGCTACTCACAGAGCCACACTGCTTAACACAGAGCCACACTGCTACACACAGAGCCACACTGCTACTCACAGAGCCACACAGCTACACACAGAGCCACACAGCTACACACAGAGCCACACTGCTACTCACAGAGCCACACAGCTACTCACAGAGCCACACAGCTACACACAGAGCCACACAGCTACACACAGAGCCACACAGCTACACACAGAGCCACTCTGCTACTCACAGAGCCACACAGCTACACACAGAGCCACACAGCTACACACAGAGCCACTCTGCTACTCACAGAGCCACACAGCTACACACAGAGCCACACTACTACACACAGAGCCACACTGCTACTCACAGAGCCACACTGCTACACACAGAGCCACACTGCTACACACAGAGCCACACTGCTACACACAGAGCCACACAGCTACACACAGAGCCACACTGCTACTCACACAGCCACACTGCTACACACAGAGCCACACAGCTACACACAGAGCCACACTACTACACACAGAGCCACACTGCTACTCACAGAGCCACACTGCTACACACAGAGCCACACTGCTACACACAGAGCCACACTGCTACACACAGAGCCACACTGCTACACACAGAGCCACACTGCTACACACAGAGCCACACTGCTACACACAGAGCCACACTGCTACACACAGAGCCACACTGCTACACACAGAGCCACACTGCTACACACAGAGCCACACTGCTACACACAGAGCCACACAGCTACTCACAGAGCCACACAGCTACTCACAGAGCCACACAGCTACACACAGAGCCACACGAGCAGCCACACACAGAGCCACACTGCTACTCACAGAGCCACACAGCTACACACAGAGCCACACGAGCAGCCACACACAGAGCCACACCGCTACTCACAGAGCCACATCGCTACTCACAGAGCCACACTGCTACTCACAGAGCCACACTGCTACACACAGAGCCACACTGCTACTCACAGAGCCACACTGCTACTCACAGAGCCACACTGCTACACACAGAGCCACTCTGCTACACACAGAGCCACACTGCTACTCACAGAGCCACACTGACACCGCTACTCACAGAGCCACACTGCTACTCACAGAGCCACACTGCTACTCACAGAGCCACACTGCTACACACAGAGCCACACTGCTACTCACAGAGCCACACTGCTACTCACAGAGCCACACTGCTACACACAGAGCCACACTGCTACTCACAGAGCCACACTGCTACTCACAGAGCCACACTGCTACTCACAGAGCCACACTGCTACTCACAGAGCCACACTGCTACTCACAGAGCCACACTGCTACACACAGAGCCACACGAGCAGCCACACACAGAGCCACACAGCTACTCACAGATCCACACTACTACACACAGAGCCACACTGCTACTCACAGAGCCACACAGCTACACACAGAGCTACACTGCTACTCACAGAGCCACACTGCTACACACAGAGCCACACAGCTACTCACAGAGCCACACCGCTACACACAGAGCCACACCGCTACTCACAGAGCCACACAGCTACTCACAGAGCCACACAGCTACACACAGCCACACACAGCCACACAGCTACACACAGCCACACACAGCCACACACAGCTACACACAGCTACACACAGCTACACACAGCCACACACAGCTACACACAGCTACACACAGCTACACAGCTACACACAGCTACACACAGCTACAGCTACACACAGAGCTACACAGCCACACACAGAGCCACACTGCTACTCACAGAGCCACACTGCTACTCACAGAGCCACTCAGCTACACACAGAGCTACACAGCTACTCACAGAGCCACACTGCTACTCACAGAGCTACACAGCTACACACAGAGCCACACAGCTACACACAGAGCCACACAGCTACACACAGAGCCACACAGCTACTCACAGAGCCACACTGCTACTCACAGAGCCACACTGCTACTCACAGAGCCACACTGCTACTCACAGAGCCATACTGCTACTCACAGAGCCACACTGCTACTCACAGAGCCACACAGCTACTCACAGAGCCACACAGCTACACACAGAGCCACACCGCTACTCACAGAGCCACACTGCTTAACACAGAGCCACACTGCTACACACAGAGCCACACTGCTACTCACAGAGCCACACAGCTACACACAGAGCCACACAGCTACACACAGAGCCACACTGCTACTCACAGAGCCACACAGCTACTCACAGAGCCACACAGCTACACACAGAGCCACACAGCTACACACAGAGCCACACAGCTACACACAGAGCCACTCTGCTACTCACAGAGCCACACAGCTACACACAGAGCCACACTACTACACACAGAGCCACACTGCTACTCAGAGCCACACTGCTACACACAGAGCCACACTGCTACACACAGAGCCACACTGCTACACACAGAGCCACACAGCTACACACAGAGCCACACTGCTACTCACACAGCCACACTGCTACACACAGAGCCACACAGCTACACACAGAGCCACACTACTACACACAGAGCCACACTGCTACTCAAAGAGCCACACTGCTACACACAGAGCCACACTGCTACACACAGAGCCACACTGCTACACACAGAGCCACACTGCTACACACAGAGCCACACTGCTACACACAGAGCCACACTGCTACACACAGAGCCACACTGCTACACACAGAGCCACACTGCTACACACAGAGCCACACTGCTACACACAGAGCCACACAGCTACTCACAGAGCCACACAGCTACTCACAGAGCCACACAGCTACACACAGAGCCACACAAGCAGCCACACACAGAGCCACACTGCTACTCACAGAGCCACACAGCTACACACAGAGCCACACGAGCAGCCACACACAGAGCCACACCGCTACTCACAGAGCCACACCGCTACTCACAGAGCCACACAGCTACTCACAGAGCCACACTGCTACACACAGAGCCACACTGCTACTCACAGAGCCACACGAGCAGCCACACACAGAGCCACACTGCTACACACAGAGCCACACTACTACTCATAGAGCCACACGAGCAGCCACACACAGAGCCACACTGACACTCACAGAGCCACACTGACACCGCTACTCACAGAGCCACACAGCTACACACAGAGCCACACAGCTACACACAGAGCCACACTGCTACTCACAGAGCCACACAGCTACTCAGAGCCACACAGCTACACACAGAGCCACACTGACACTCACAGAGCCACACTGACACGGATACTCACAGAGCCACGCCCGCCAACGCAGCAGCACGCTAACCGCACGGTCACCACACGCGCTACCTCGCACCCACGCACCACCACGCACTACCACGCGCTACCTCGCACTACCACGCACTACCACGCACCAACCACAACCCCACTCGCGCGCATCACCCCAACCCCCCTCTCCACCACCACAAGTGGCGCCGCTCTGCTCGACGGCGCCCCACACGGCCGATGAGCCTGCAGTGAGCGTCTGTGCCGGGCCTCTGCGCTGACCGCGTGTGTCATCGTGCTGCTGCTGCTGCTTCTACTGCTGCTGCTGCTACTGCTGCTGCTACTGCTGCTGTTGCTACTGCTACTGCTGCTACTGCTACTGCTGCTACTGCTGCTGCTGCTACTGCTGCTGCTACTGCTGCTACTGCTGCTGCTGCTACTGCTGCTGCTACTGCTACTGCTGCTGCTACTGCTGCTGCTGCTACTGCTGCTGCTGCTACTGCTGCTGCTGCTGCTGCTGCTGCTGCTACTGCTGCTGCTACTGCTACTGCTGCTGCTGCTACTGCTACTACTGCTGCTACTGCTGCTGCTGCTACTGCTGCTGCTACAGGGCATGCAGGAAGGCGAGGGGCTGGCTGCAGACGCTCCCGCTGAGAGCCAGCAGCAGCGGCAGCAGCAGCGGCAGGCGGCTTCCGCGCCCAGCGCCCCGGCCGCCTCGGGCACCACCAGCAGCAGCAGCACGGCGAGTACCGGTGGCACCGCGTCGCAGGGCTCCAGATCCGGTGAGGGGGTGTGTGGGGGTGGGTGTGTGTGTGTCTGTGTGAGTTCCATTCCCGCTCACTGCTAACTTCAGTGACGATTATCTGAACCGGTCCTGGGCCTCCCCTAGGTCCACTCAGCTTCAAACGAGTGCGCGGTGCGACGTGTAGTAAACATCGCCACTGGGGAGACAAAGCCGGCCGGGCGTGGTGCTGGCCACCCGCCCCCTCGTGTGCCACGTGCCACTTGCCCCAACAATCTGCTGAAGGCTGCCCGGGGTGGACCTGCGTGTTTGTTGCAGGCAACCCGCTGGAGTACCTGCGGAACCAGGCACAGTTCCGCTACATGCGGCGCGCCGTGCAGCAGAACCCCGGCCTGCTGCCCGCCCTGCTGCAGGAGCTGGGCGTCCAGAACCCTCAGCTGCTTGCGGTGAGCGTCGCACACGCGTCGCACACGCGTCGCACACGCATCGCACACGCATCGCACACGCGCGTCGCTCACACGCGTCGCACACGCGTCGCACACGCGTCGCACACGCGTCGCACACGCGCGTCGCTCACACGCGTCGCACACGCATCGCACACGCATCGCACACGCATCGCACACGCGCGTCGCTCACACGCGTCGCACACGCGTCGCACACGCGTCGCACACGCGTCGCACACGCATCGCACACACGCGTCGCTCACACGCGTCGCACACACATGTCGCACACACGTCGCACATGCGTCGCTCCCACGCGTCGCCCACGCAACAACACGATTAGCAAATCGCAAAGGCAGCGATTTTTTTTTTCCGATTTGAAAAGTCCCCTTTCTTCTTGGATTTTTTTTTTGTTATCATAACTTTTTTTGATTCAACTTAACAATTGTTCTATGTTTGATTGTTCTATTTCAATTAAAACATTTAAATTATCATCCTTGCATTAGAATATATAGTGCAGTTCATATGTTGATGGTATCACGTGGTAATGCTCCATCACGTGTTTTAAATCTATTACACAGTGAATATTCAACTGCAGCTTGACTTCAAAACATTTATTCGCGAATCAAATCGCAATATCTGTCAGAAAATAATCGCAATTGCATCTCTTCCCCCAAGTCGTTGAGCCCCTGCTCTGCACGTTTTGCACGTTTTGCTTGCGGCCTAGCAGGAGATCAGCCAGTACCAGGAGGAGTTCATCCACATGCTCAACGAGCCGGGCGAGGAGGGCGCCGAGGAGCCCGGCGCCGACGAGCCGGGCGCAGACCGGCCGCAGGTCATCCAGGTCACGCCCGACGAGATGGACGCCATCGAGAGGGTAATGCCGCCGTGTGGGAGCGCGCGAGCGTGCGCTGCTTCTGCTGCTGCTGCTGTGTTTGTGCATGTGTGCTGCTGCTGGTGCTGTGTTTGTGTGTGTGCTGCTGCTGTGCTTGTGCATGTGTGCTGCTGGTGCTGTGTTTGTGTGTGTGTGCTGCTGCTGCTGTGTTTGTGCTGCTGCTGCTGCTGCTGCTGCTGCTGTGCTTGTGCATGTGTGCTGCTGCTGGTGCTGTGTTTGTGTGTGTGTGCTGCTGCTGCTGCTGTGTTTGTGCATGTGTGCTGCTGCTGCTGCTGTGCTTGTGCATGTGTGCTGCTGCTGGTGCTGTGTTTGTGTGTGTGTGCTGCTGCTGCTGCTGTGTTTGTGTGTGTGCTGCTGCTGCTACTGCTGCTGTGCTTGTGCATGTGTGCTGCTGCTGGTGCGCGGGCCCGGGTAAAACTACGTGGCCGGGAGTCGGAGCCGTTCCCTGTACACCTTGGGGTGCGACAGGGATGTCCTCTGGCTCCCACATTATTTAACATCTATTTTGACCGCGTTGTTCGTGAAGCCTTCAATGGCTGTACCGGGGGAATTTCCATTTGGTACAGATATAATGGGAGGCTGATCGATGCCCGGGTGCGGTCAAGGGATGGCTCCCTATTGGTAAACCACGTTATGTATGCCGATGATTTGGTAATTGCTGCTCATTCAGAAGAGGAGTTGGAGGCGCTGTTGATGAACCTGGAGCGTGCCACTAAGAGGTGGGTGGGGCCTTACCATCAGCCCCACCAAAACTAAGCACCTGCCTGGATATTTTGTACCATCGGACACTCCACCCCCACAACTCCCAATCGGTGATGGGGCAGTAGTGGAGAGAGTGGAGAGTTTTCCATACTTGGGCAGTGTGCTTATGACCGGCTCCAGTTTAACAGCAGAGGTCTCACTCCGAATCAGTCGAGCGGCATTGTCTTTTCATCGGTTGCGTAACGCTGTGTAGAAGCTACCTGGATTGTCGCTCCGCACGAAGCTTCAGGTCTTCTCGGCCACAGTCATTCCTTCCCTTCTCTACGCTTGCGAAACGTGGACCCCCCTAATAGAGCATCTTCGCCGGTTGGAAACATTTAGGCTGGCCTGCCTACGATCCATCCTGGGTTTAACCAGGCTGGATTGTGTGAGGAGCTCACAAATCCTTGAAAGATCTGGGCAAAGTCCCATCGGTGAGCTCCTCCGGCAGGCAAGGCTGCGTTGGCTGGGTCATGTAGCCCGCATGCCCAGCCACCGCATGCCTAAACAGCTTTTGTTCGGCCGGATAGAGGGGGCTAAACGGGCCCGGCACGGGCTAGAGAAGAGATGGAGTTATGTGGTACGGGAGGACGTGGAGCTGAGTGGACTTGCCGATGACTAGTACCAGCGGTGTCAAGATCGGCCTCTGTGGAGGAGGCTCGTGAAGGACACTACTGGGCAGTTGGAGGCAGTCGCCCTCCAACAACAACGGAGGGCGGAGGAGCGACGCTCACAACCACGAGCGGAGTGCCCGGTGGCTAAAGCACAGCAAGTTGGTACAGTAGGGGGCACAGGTGGTGCATCAGCCAGTCATCTCGGTCATCTCAGTCAGTCGACCCGTGGCACCTGCTGGGTCTGCCCCGTGACCTCCTGCCAGCGGGCATTCGACACTTCATGTGGCCTCAAGGTGCACTTGGCCTGGCACAAGCGTCGTGGTGACGTCACCGCCACTTAGTGGCGAATGGCGGTTGTTGTGCTGCTGTGTGTGTGTAGCAGTGTGTGTGTGCTGCTGCGTGTGTGCTGCTGCTAACAGTGTGTGTGTGTGTGCTGTGTGTGTGTGCTACTGTGTCTGTGTGCTGCTGCTGACACTGTGTGTGTGTGTGCTGCTAACACTGTGTGTGCGCTGTGTGTGTGTGTGCTGTGTGTGTGCTACTGTGTGTGTGTGCTGCTGCTAACACTGTGTGTGTGCGCTGTGTGTGTGTGTGTGCTGTGTGTGTGTGCTACTGTGTGTGTGTGCTGCTGCTGACACTGTGTGTGCTGCTGCTGACACTGTGTGTGTGCTGCTAACACTGTGTGTGTGCGCTGTGTGTGTGTGTTGCTGTGTGTGTGTGTGTAGCAGTGTGTGTGTGTGCTGCTGATAACACTGTGCTGTGTGTGTGTGTGCTGACACTGTGTGTGTGCTGCTGTGTGTGTGAGCAGCTCATGGGCCTGGGCTTTGAGCGGCGCCTGGCGATGGAGGCCTACTTTGCCTGCGACAAGAACGAGAACCTGGCGGCAAACTTCCTCCTACAGCACATCGTGGACGACGACTGAGTCCACCATCGCCCCCTCCCTCCCCCATCGCCCCCCCCCTCTCTGCCTCCCTCCCCTCCCCCATCGCCCTCATCGCCCCCATCGCCCCCCCCCCCCTCTCATGCTCCCTCCCCGACGCCGCCCCGCAGAGCACACACGCCCACGGCCCTTCTCTCTCCCCTTCACGGCCACCGCCACCATCGTCGTCACCACCACCACCGCCATCACCGCCACCACCACCGCTAGCACCACCATCATCGTAATCACCACCACCGCCATCACCGCTAGCACCACCATCACTGCCACCGTCACCACCACCACTAGCATCACCATCGTCGTCGTCACCACCATCACTGCCACCGTCACCACCACCACCACCGCTAGCACCACCATCATCGTCACCGCCGATGCCACCACGATCACCGCCACCACCAGTGCCATCATCGCCGTCGGCGCCACCGGGCACGGCTGCGTTGCACCGTCACCACGAGCAAGTGCTGCTGAAGCGTCGGGCCGGAAGAGGGCGTGGCCACGTGGGGGAGGGGGGGGGTCACTCGCGCGGGGGGGGGGGGGTCACTCACGCAAGGGGTCACTCCCGCAAGGGGTCACTCCCGCAAGGGGTCACTCCCTCTCGGCGTTTTCCCGTGGAGCACGTCAACGGGACGACGCGCGTTGACAGGGTGGCGCGCGTTGATGGTGGCGTGTGCTGCCAATCGCCGTGACTGGGGGACGCTGCTCGTTCGGTTAGAACCCACCCAGCCCCCCCCCCCTGGTAGCTAATGAACTAATCTGCTTGCGTGGTGACCTCTGACCCTGCCCCCTCCGCGGCGCTGGGGAGGCCCTCTTCCGGCCGCACGTCGAGGTCCAGGACGCCGGGCCGAGTGGCTTCGCCCAAATCCTAAATGGGATTTTCGTATTTCCCCCCCCCTCCTCTCTGGTTCATAAACATTCTGCATCGCGTCACAACGGCCCCCTGTCCCAGGCCAGCCCCACGCAGGGAGACGGCGACGATCGCGTGGCGCTCGAATTTGATGAAACAAAAACATTTCAAGAGCCGCGACGCTCGTGGTGACTAGGCCGCTCAACTCGCCGGCCAGCCGGGACCCCAAGAACCGCCTCCAAGTCCCTGAGCACCGCGTGCAGCGCATACCCCCACACCGCCCCCCCCCTTCTCCCGTCACCTAAAGCCCCCCCCCCCCCCCCCCGGCGTGACGGCCCCGACCCACTTAACCCCCACCCCCTCCCCGCCCCGTAAGCTTATTATGCAAAGGTGGAGAGGCAAGCGGAGAGCGTCGTTGGCGTGGGGTTTGTTCCGCTACGTTTCCTTGTTAAAGCGTCGGCGTCGTCGTCACCGTCGGCGTCGTCGTCACCGTCGTCACCGTTGTCACCGTCACCGCCGTCACCGCCGCCGCGTTGCGTGACCGGGCCGAGCGCCGATTTTGCCGCGGCCGGCGATACGGCAAAGTTCCCCGCGGCGCTGCGTTGTGCCACCTGGACCGGCGGGCGGGCGGAGCGGAGGTGGTGCTCGGGCCGGGGCTGGGTGGGGCCGAGCTGGGTGGGGCCGGGCTGGGTGGGGCCGGGCTGGGTGGGGCCGGGCTGGGTGGGGCCGGGCTGGGTGGGGCCAGGCTGGGTGGGGCCGGGCTGGGTGGGGCTCGCGAGTTGGGGTTGTTTGTGGGTTTTGGTGTCAATGGTGGGGGGGGCGGTGGGTAGTGACTGGGTGGCGTTGGCGTTAGGGCTGTAGCAGTGGAGGTCATGGGTGTGGGTTGGTCTCGGTGACTTGCGACTTGGTGTTAGTGGCAGAGTGGCTCTGCTTGCTACTTGACTGAGGTTCGGCTGAGTGCTCGTGGTTGGTTGGGTAGTTTCCCAGGGTTATGGGTAGCGCTAGTGACTTGGGGTAGTTGGGGTTATGGGTAGCGCTAGTGACTTGGGGTAGTTGGGTTATGGGTAGCGCTAGTGACTTGGGGTAGTTGGGGTTATGGGTAGCGCTGGTGACTTGGGGTAGTTGGGGTTATGGGTTGCGCTAGTGACTTGGGATAGTTGGGGTTATGGGTAGTGCTGGTGACTTGGGGTAGTTGGGGTTATGGGTAGCGCTGGTGACTTGGGGTAGTTGGGGTTATGGGTAGCGCTAGTGACTTGGGGTAGTTGGGGTTATGGGTAGTGCTGGTGACTTGGGGTAGTTGGGGTTATGGGTAGCGCTGGTGACTTGGGGTAGTTGGGGTTATGGGTAGCGCTAGTGACTTGGGGTAGTTGGGGTTATGGGTAGCGCTGGTGACTTGGGGTAGTTGGGTTATGGGTAGCGCTGGTGACTTGGGGTAGTTGGGGTTATGGGTAGCGCTGGTGACTTGGGGTAGTTGGGTTATAGGTAGCCCTAGTGACTTGGGGTAGTAGGGTTATGAGTAGCGCTAGTGACTTGGGGTAGTTGGGGTTATGGGTAGCGCTAGTGACTTGGGGTAGTAGGGTTATGGGTAGCGCTGGTGACTTGGGGTAGTTGGGGTTATGGGTAGCGCTAGTGACTTGGGGTAGTTGGGGTTATGGGTAGCGCTAGTGACTTGGGGTAGTTGGGTTATGGGTTGCGCTGGTACCAGTGGCTGCGGTGATCAGGGTTAGAATCTAGTTGGCTGTTCCGCTCACGAAGTTCTCTCTCCACCACCCCCACGGTAACGCACGGAAACCTCTCGCTCGCCCACCCACCTGCCCGCTCGCCCGCCCTCTCGTCCGCTCGCTCGCTTACCCGCTCGCCCGCCCACCCGCTCGTCCACCCGCTCGTCCACCCGCTCGCCCGCTCGCTCGCCCTCCGATGACCTTTTCTGGTGTCCCAGGATCCCAGCGGTCCCAGGCCGGTGGTCACGCAGCAGTCGCAGCGTAAATACAACAACTACAACAACAACTACTACTACTACACTCGCGCGTGACGATAAATAATAAAAGAGAGAGTTGTTATTTACAGCGAGCCTCGCCGGCTGGTTTGTGTCTCTGCCTTCTGTTGTGAGTGGCGCTGGTGGTGGGGGGGGTGAGGATTGGGGGGGGGGGGGTGAGGACCGTGGGGGGTGGGGGGGTGAGGACTGGTGGGGGGGGGGTGACGGTGTGGGGGCCTCACGGCCGCCCAGGGTCCAGCAAGGGGGTTGGGGGGGCAGCACCTAATGTCCCGCGTGGCCAGGAGATGTTAACTACCTCGCCTGGTCTACAGGAGGTCGTGGGTTCAATCCCGACCCTGACTATGCCTGCTGCTGCTGCTGTAGATTTGGAGTTTGCGTGTCTCTCTCTCATCATCATCACCACGGTGGCTAGGAGATGTTAACTACCTCGCCTGGTATACAGGAGGTCGTGGATTCCATTCCGATCCGGACCCTGACGATGCCTGCTGCTGCTGTAGATTTGGAGTCTCTCATCATCATCATCACGGTGACTAGGAGATGTTGACTACCTCGCCTGGTCTACAGGAGATCGTGGGTTCCATCCCGACCCTGACGACGCTTGCTGCTGCTGCTCTACATTTCCACGTGAGAACGTCCAAGCCACTGGAAGAAAGAAACCAGCGCTACGTATCTCAGTGGATGCTTTCCCGTCAAATCAACGAGAGTTTCAAGGGCCCACTTGCTCGGGGCCTCCCACAAACAGCGGCATCACAACAGCCCGGCTTCATTTGTCGATAACACTGGTCAACAACAAAACAACAACACTGGTCAACAACAAAACAACATTTTTTTCTGGCCTGGACTTTTGCAGCTGTTCTAGACTAATTTCAGGGTGCTGATTCCAAATCTGATCTCAGATTTGCTCTATCACATCTCAACTTTATGCTATCGGCATACCCCATTTTCATTGATTTTACACTTGTGATTGCAAGTTGTTGCGAGTCAGTGACTGCTTTAGTGTTAAAATATGGTGCTGTATTTTTAGGATAATGTGTTTATAATATCATTTTATGTAGATATCCACATTTATTTAATATTTTTCTTCTGCAGTTTGTATTGAAAATGCAATATTTGATATCTCAAAAACCTGATGTGATAGACAAAAACTGATGCCAGATTTGGAATCAGCACCCCAAAATTAAACCCGTTGTAATACCTCATGCCAGAAAAAGTGTGTTGACCAGTGTAATGAAGATGGATCGGGGCTGGTGGTGGTGGTTGTGCCACGTGGCATTGCGCCCCGGGGCCTTCTGGGAACCTCAGGGCCGGCCCCGTTCGGCCGTCACGTGGCCCTGGAGTCGGAGCCACTTTGCGCGTTCAGGCGTCAGCAGCAGCAGCAGCGGATTGATTTGTGCCGACATCGGCACCGACTGTGCTCTGTTGAACTTCCACGCCTGGGTTTCATCTCCACCAGCAGTGGTTCTTAACCTGTAGGGGGCGGGCTGGAGGGGAGGGGGCGAGACATTGGGCAGGTAATATTTTTGAAGGTAAATAATCGACGGCACAAATCAAGCAACGCGGGCACGTCAAGGCACAAACTTGCTTCGTTTCATCAGCGCCGATCTATTTAGGAGCAAAACTGTTTTTTTATTTTTTTACGATGAGAACCAAAATGGTGCAGACTGCAGTCAAAGATTAAGAACCGCTGGTCCACATGTCCTGTGACCCCCCATTTAATTATGTAAAACTGAGTTTCTGCGTGTTTTAAAAAAAGGAAAGTTTATTTAAAAACAGAAATGAATATGCAAAGGAAAAATGTTCGGGGGGGGGGTGGGGGGGGTCACAAGACACCCAGACCTACACTGCACAGTGAGGGAGGTAGCGACCCTAGGCTGTGTGCAGGTTTGATGTGTGAATGTGTGTGCGTCATTGTGTGTGTGTGTCATTTTGTGTGTGTGTCATTGTGTGTGTGTCATTTTGTGTGTGTGTCAAGTGTGTGTGTTTCAGTGTGTGTGTGCCACATTGTGTGTGTGTGTCATTGTGTGTGTGTGTGTCACTGTGTGTGTCATTGTGTGTGTGTGCGTCATTGTGTGTGCGCGTCATTGTGTGTGTGCGTCATTGTGTGTGTGTGTCATTGTGCGTGTCATTGTGTGTGTGTGCGTGTGTCATTGTGTGTGTGTGTGTGTCATTGTGTGTGTGTGTCATTGTGTGTCATTTTGTGTGTGTCTGTCAAGTGTGTGTGTTTCAGTGTGTGTGTGCCACATTGTGTGTGTGCTTCAGTGTGTGTGTGTGTCATTGTGTGTGTGTCACTGTGTGTGTCATTGTGTGTGTGTGCGTCATTGTGTGTGTGTGTCATTGTGTGTGTGTGTGTCATTGTGTGTGTGTGTCATTGTGTGTGTGTGTGTGCGTCATTGTGTGTGCGCGTCATTGTGTGTGTGCCACATTGTGTGTGTGTCATTGTGTGTGTGTGTGTCACTGTGTGTCATTGTGTGTGTGTGCGTCATTGTGTGTGCGCGTCATTGTGTGTGTGCGTCATTGTGTGTGTGTGTCATTGTGTGTGTGTGTCATTGTGTGTGTGTGTGTGTCATTTTGTGTGTGTGTGTCAAGTGTGTGTGTTTCAGTGTGTGTGTGCCACATTGTGTGTGTGCTTCAGTGTGTGTCATTGTGTGTGCGTCATTGTGTGTGTGTCATTGTGTGTGTGTGTGTCATTGTGTGTGTGTGTCATTGTGTGTGTGTGTCATTGTGTGTGTGTCATTTTGTGTGTGTGTGTGTCAAGTGTGTGTGTTTCAGTGTGTGTGTGCCACATTGTGTGTGTGTGTGTCATTGTGTGTGTGTGTCATTGTGTGTGTGTGTGTCATTGTGTGTGTGTCATTTTGTGTGTGTGTGTGTCAAGTGTGTGTGTTTCAGTGTGTGTGTGCCACATTGTGTGTGTGTGCTTCAGTGTGTGTGTGTGTCATTGTGTGTGTGTCATTTTGTGTGTGTGTGTGTCAAGTGTGTGTGTTTCAGTGTGTGTGTGCCACATTGTGTGTGTGTCATTGTGTGTGTGTGTGTGTGTCACTGTGTGTGTCATTGTGTGTGTGTGTGCGTCATTGTATGTGTATGGCTGTGTATGGCTGTGTGTGTCTGTGTGTGTGTGTGAGTCTGTGTGTGTGTATGGCTGTGTGTGTCTGTGTGTGTCTGTCTGTGGGGAGCGGTAGTGTGTAGTGGGGAGCGGTGGTGCAGCGGTTAGCGCGCTGCGCTATGAACCTAGCGACCCGGGTTCGATTCCCGCTCACGGCTAACACCAGTGACGATTATCTGAACCGGTCCTGGGCCTCCCCTAGGTCGACTCAGCCTTAAATGAGTACTTGGTGCGGTGTGTAAACATCGCCACTGGGGAGACAAAGGCGGTCGGGCGTGGTGCTGGCCACCCACCCCCTCGTGTACCGTGCCGGCCTTCATAGGTGCTCGCTAACAGCACTTGCCCCTACAGTCTGTTTAGGCTATACGGGGGATCTTTGTATCTTTGTGTGTGTGTGTGGGGAGCGGTGGTGCAACGGTTAGCGTGGCGCTGCGCTCCGCTCCCACCGTGGCGTGGTGTGGGTGGTGTGGGTGGTGGGTGGGTTGTGTGGGTGGTGGCGTGGGTGGTGGTTGTGTGTGTGAGTAGGTGGTCGGGTGGATGGTTGCGTGGTGGGTAGGTGGTCGTGTGGGTAGATGGTGGTGGTGTGGGTGGTTGGTTGGTCGTGTGGGTGGTGGCGTGGTGGGTGGGTGGTTGCGTGGGTGGTGGTGGTGTGTGGGTGGGTGGTGGTGGTGTGGGTGGTGGTGGTGGTGGTGATGATGGTGGTGGTGGTGCGGGTGGCTGGGTGGGTGAAGTTCACGGCCAGGAGCGAGCGGTGCCACGTTGCCGCTTTTCGTTGTGTCGAGTCGAGACGAGCGTCTGGGGGCCCAGATTCCCGCTCCGTCATCGTCGTCCCACGGGGATTGCGGCCAGTCGCGTCCGAATTCACGACGATGCATAATTAATGAGCCGGGCTCTCGGGACAATGACACCCGCACCTGCCACGGAGGCGACAGCGAGGAGGCGGCAGTGGTGGTCGTGGTGGTAGTCGTGGTGGTGGTCTTGTGCGCGCTCACCAGGCTCACCACGCGCGCTCAACACACACACACACACCACCCTCACCACACAAACTACCCTCACCACGCTCACACCACACACCACACACACACACCACACACCCCACACACACACACCACACACACCACACACACCACCACACACACCACACACATACACCACACACACACACCACCACACACACACACCACACACACCACCACACACACCACACACACCACCACACACACACATCACACACACCACCACACACACACACACCACACACACCACACACACACCACCACACACACACATCACACACACCAGACACACCACCACACACACACCACCACACACACACACACCACACACACACACCACACACACACACCACACACACACACCACGGCTTTAGTGGACACCGAGAGAGAGAGGGGGAGGGAGGCGGGAGTCACCAGCGGGGACTCCTCCTGCTGCTCCAAACTCCATCCAGGACTCGGACTCAGGTGGGGCGACGCGCGTGGAACTCGGTGTACCTGTGTGTGTACCTCTGTGTGTGTGTGTACCTGTGTACCTGTGTGTGTGTGTACGTGTACCTGTGTGTGTACCTGTGTGTGTACCTGTGTGTGTGTGCCTGTGTGTGTGTACCTGTGGGTACCTGTGTGTGTGTACGTGTACCTGTGTGTGTACCTGTGTGTGTACCTGTGTGTGTACCTGTGTGTGTGTATGTACCTGTGTGTGTGTACCTGTGTACCTGTGGGTACCTGTGGGTACCTGTGTGTACGTGTACCTGTGTGTATACCTGTGTGTGTACCTGTGTGTGTACCTATGTGTACCTGTGTGTGTACCTGTGTGTGTGTACCTGTGGGTACCTGTGGGTACCTGTGTGTGTGTACCTGTGTGTACCTGTGTGTGTGTGTACCTGTGTGTATCTGTGTGTGTGTACCTGTGTGTGTACCTGTGTGTACCTGTGTGTACCTGTGTGTGTGTACC